TGCCTGTTATAGAGTATGAAAAAGCTCTGTCTTCTCTGCTATGTTTTTAATAACCTACATAAAACTGCTAGAAGGAGTATTGCCAGTTATCTGAAAGGCCCAGCTTCACCCACACCAGCCTGCCTAAAATCACTTGTAAAGCCCCACTTGGGATGAGATTTACCTGCCTGCTGAGCACAAGGGAGGGCTTTTGGTTTTGGCTGTACCCTTGAAGTTGTGGTCCCATCAGAGTACCTCAGCCCCCTTCAGAAAAGCCTTTAAGGCATTTGCTTTCCCTAGATTTTTCTTGTGGGCTACTGAGGCCGAAAAGCTGCACTTCTTAAAACATTTATTAGATTCTTGTATTTTATTGGGTTGAATGTTTTATTGATGGTTCTGGTTAAAGGTCATTTTTATTTGGAAGTTGGGAGTTTTTCATATTGCAAAATATGTTTAATTAGTTAATTGACATATAACATTTTTTGACAAATATGTTTCCACTTCCCAGGGCATCTGTAATATTTATGCCTTTCATTCCTAAATTGAATAAGAATAGTAGTGGTTTTAAGTAATCTTCTCAAGATATACTTTTAGTCGGTTTGTAATACTATGGTGTAATTTTTGTATTTTTCTTCTTTTACATTACTTTAAGAGTAATTTTGCTTATATGAAGCAATAAAAATGTCAATACACTAAACTAAACTAAATCAGAAATGCCTTGGTAATCTAGTAGAAAGTGCAGATGTGAAGGGGGAGGCATTTTATGTGGCAACAAGCTGTGCCTATCTTTACATTAATAATATCTGCTTATGTGCCGCAGAAGAAATAATTTTTCTGTACAGTCTCATTGGCTCTCCTGTTTTAATTTACAGAGCTATACTTTCTTTCCTCCCACCCCAATACCTTCTGAGCTGTGGAGTAAATGTACTGTGCCCACAAAAGTATATGTTCGCCTCCAGGCCTATCCAGATGATAAATCACCCAGAATTTCTTTGTTATGCTGCATTTTATTAACCCCAGTTCTGCAGCAATAATGCAATATCCTGTCATTGCGTTATTTCTGGAAGAGGGCAAGTGACAGTTTTATTGCTGGGGCAATGAGGAGGTTTAGCATGTTTGCCAGCTTTTGCAAATCAGGGAGATGATATTCCATAGTGCAGAAAAAGCACACCTTTCCCAAATACATTGTAATGTATATTTTTAAGGAAAAAAGCAGAGGCATTCCTATGAGCAAGACAACATTGCTAGTATTTGCTATTTCATAATTTGGAGATATGGGAGACAGGAGAGAAATGCTCAGCAACAATAACAGCACGAACCAGCCAAATGAAGCACATTTAAGCTTGTTTCAATGGGAAAGACAGACCAGCAAAGATCTGCTGGCTGCAAGGGTTAAGATTTGGCACATGCTTCTTCTGCTGGCAAAAGTCCTCTTTTGCCTGCCCATCTCAGAAATCTGCCAAGAGAGCAATCTGTTGGCAGAGGTTCTCTGCCAGCTGAGGTCTGCCAGGAGAAAGCTTAAAAAGGGGGCAGAGAAGTGGGAGGAGGTCAAGTTACGTCTCATCCAAGCCTCTTCTAGCACAGGGACATGGCCAATGTGTTGGCACAAAATTAAGCCAAGATGAAGGTATTCCCAAATAATTCCTGCCATCCCTAAATTGGATGCAGTTTCAATTCAGCACAATTGCAGCTTGCCTAGTGTCATCCCAGCTTGATTAGTGCCAGCCACTTTGGTCATCATCATTGGTTAGGGGTGTGGTCCACTTCTGCCTTCCAAAATAGATGTAATGTAGCCTATCTTTGTCCAGTAAGGTTTTTTTAAAGTTTAAAAGATCCAATTAATGCAGTTTGTTAGGAGTTGAGAATATTTTTATTACTGGCTATTTCACTGTCTTTTACATGCATATTGTTCTTGTTGTGGCAACTGTGTGCCTTCGAGTAATTTCTGACGTATGGTTACCCTTTCACAGGGATTTCTTGGCAAGATATATACCTGGAATAAATTTAAGGGAGATGTTAACAAGCTGGAATGTGTACAGAAGAGGGTGACTAAAATGATCAAGGGTCTGCAGAAGAGAAAGCTGAGAGAAGATATGATGGCCATGTATAAATATTTGAGGGAAAGTCAAAAGGAGTAAGCTTGTTTTCCGCTGCCCTGCAGACTAGGATGCAGGACAATGGCTTCAAATTACAGGAAAGGAGATTTCACATGAACATTAGGAAGAACTTCTTAACTGTGAGATCTGTTCAGCAGTGGAACTTTCTGTTCTGGATTATGGTGGAGGCTCCTTCTTTGGAGGCTTTTAAACAGAGGCTGGAAGGCCATTTGTTGTGGGTACTTTGAATGTGATTTTCCTGCTTCTTGGCAGGGGTTGGACTGGATGGCCCACAAAGTTTCTTCCAACTCTATGATTCTATGATTTTTTTTTTCCACAAGAGATTTGCTATAGCCTTCCTTTGAGTCTGAGAGAGTGTGACACCCAAGGTAACACCCAGTGAGTTTTATGGCTGAGCAGGGATTCAAACCCCAATCTCCAGAGTTTTAATCCAATGCTCAAACCACTGCACTACACTGACTGTCTTGTGCAGATTACAGATGCACATCAGACAGCATTACAAAAGTCTGATTACTGTTTCCCAAGCACAATATTTTGAAGTTTGGCAATTGGGAACATGTGGGCATTCCTCAAAGGAAGTGTTTTCTTCACAGAAAGCTACATTTGTTTCATGAGATTCCCTTATTGCCTGCGGTATTTTATGACAGTGTAAAAACCTTTCCCCTTTTCTGCCCTTGCACCTGATTCAAGGGCTCCACTCAAAAGCCATTAAGCTTGATCAAATCTCTTTGTTACAAATGGCTTCAGGAATGCTGCTGCCAGCAGCAGGTTACAGGAGGATGACTGTGCTTGCATTTCTGTCTTCCCAGCACATTTAGAGAAGGCTGCAGTGAGATTTCTTGCCGTATATTGTCTGCTGCTAAAGGCTGTGAGACACAGATAAGAGAGCTAGGTAATGAAGTACCTGGAAGCACCTTCTTTTCTGTGTCTATTTTCTATTCTCTCAAACTCCTCAGATGCCAAAACCATTCCGCTGTCTGTCTGATTATCCTGAAAAGAAAACAGAAGTGTGAAGTGTTAAAAGCACCAAGGGATAGAGGAAAATTCATTTGGATCTCATTTCAACACTAATGGGCCTAATTTGTTTTTTCTGAGCCAGTACCTAAGTTGGTATGCATTCCAGTTCTTGTACTTCTCCAAATTCTATGAAGCAGCTGATTTATCAAAACATATGTATAATAATACACATCACAGGGGATATAAGGTACATAAAACCATATATTAAAGGAAATTACAAAAATGTATATACTAAATAGAATGGATATATGCAAAAATATGTATGGAAATTTTCACACAATTCTTTGTCAATTTGAAAAAAATATTTTGCAAAGACCTACAGAAATGGGATGGAATATATATGTACTTGGGGCTAAATATGTTAACATGACAGAAAATGAAATAGACAGATTAATCCACCATTGGAAGAGCCAGCTTTATTGAGAACGTATTTTGAAATGTTCTAACTACAAATAAACCTTGCAATGAACAAAAATTATAAGCAGATATGTTAGTAGGGGAGATCAAAAGTGGTGGGAACTGTGAGGAGGGCATGATGAATTAAGTCCCTTTCTTTCTCTCCAAACATGCCTTTCAGCATGGCAGGCATGTTATTAGTGAGCAGTTATAAAATTGTGTGTGGGGGATGAGGTTTGTGCTTTTCCCATGCAGAGAAATTCCTATTCTAAAGCCAACTGTACTTTGTGACCTTTAGATCACAACAGGGTGGGCAGACGTCTTGCCCCAAGGGCCTCCTGGACAATGGTTGCTGGATCAGGAGCCTCTGCCATATATGCACAGAAGTGATAGCAAACAAGTAAAGACACACGTAGATACAAAGACTTCCCTCCCCAGTTTTAGGGCAGGGAGGTTTGAGCTCCTTCTTTCTATGCAAGCGAGATAATTTCATCAGTGGCATGTGATTTACCCAAGGAGAGGAGGCACAAAATTAACTCTTCTCATGTGCCTTCTTCCCCACCCAAATCAAACTCTTAACAGTCTGCCAAGCAATTATTTGATAGGCTATCGGGAGAACAGCTGTCCCAACTAGAAAGAGTGCCATCTCAATGGGTGTTGGGAAAAATCAATTTATTTTCTTCCTATGCTGTTCAAAGGTGCAGGAAAGTTTTTTCCCCTGAGATGACAGAAAGCTGTGCAGCTTTTTCTGGAAATTCTGTTTCTTTCATTGAAGAGTACACAGCTTTTCCAGCTGTCATTTGCTGAGTAGTGCTTCTCTGTAACTTTCCTTCCCTTTCCCTCCTCCAGCCCCAAAGCTATGCAGAAATAATCAGTTACGAAGACATTACAACTGTCAAACCAACTGAAGGGTGAGGAGGGAAGCTCATGGAAAGATGACAGCTCCCGTTTGAGACCCACAGTCTCCAGCCAGAAATTTTGCAAAAGATTGTGCGGGAGGGTGTTGTGGAAGGAAGTTGTGAAAGAGGAAAAGTTGAAGATGTTTGGCAGCTGACAATCTAGCTTGTATTTCTCTACAGCAACTTTCACTCCCTTTAAATCCCAATCCCAACAAGAGGCTGTGGAAAGATGTCGGGATCGGAGAGGAAATTGAATGGTCTTTTCATAGCCTCTAGGCAATATTTCTGTGGAAGACTGGAGCTTGGGAGAGAGAAGTTGTGGGAAAGACAGAAGCTAAGTTGCAACTTAACACTCATTTTGGAAGAAAGGCCGGGTAATACATCAATCAATCTCCCTACAGGAGAAAGGCATGGTATCAAACAACCACCCAACCCCACCCCCCAATCTGAAACCTTGATTTACTCACGGGATGTACTTTATACATAGTTTGTGTCATAGGAAATTCTTCAAATGTCTTTATTCTAGATGGACACCTTATCTGATTCCCACCAGTCAAACAGCCGGGGAATGATACACAGTTATAGTATCTGCAAGAGGGAATAGAAGTAACCGGTAAGTCAGGAAATCATTGAATACTAAAATCAGAATTGTTCATGCCATCATATTTCCATCTTTATGTGTAGTTGTGAATACAAGGCAGTGGAAAAAACTGTTAGGAAGAAAGCCAGCTGATTTGAAATGTGGTCCTGGAGAAGAGTTATAAGGATACTGCGGACTGCTAAAAAAGACAAGTAAATGAGTCCTAGGGCAAATCAAGCCTGAACTCTTCTAAGTAGCCAAGATGACTAAACTGTGATTATGATACTTTGGCAACAGTTAAATAGAAGACATGACTCACTAGAAAAGGCAATTATGCTTAGTACAATAGCAGTAAGAAAAGAGGAAGACCGCATAATAGGTGGGTGGACTTCAACAAGGAGGCCATGGCCCTGAGTCTGCAAGACCTGAGCAGGCTATTGATGGCAAGGTGACTTGGAGGTCTCTCATTCATGCCTTAGGTTGAAGATGATTAAACAGCAATTAACAAGTGAAAGGAACTATTGTTAGGCATACACTTCAGGTGAAGGAGTTTTCCCTTTACATTATTCTTTTCAGACAAATTAGCTTAGCTGTGACATACTGCTTTGCAGCACAGGAGCAGCGTGGTCTGAATGTATTCTCATCTGAAAGTCACTCCTTGGACATTTACTGGCTGGCTCTGGACTAGGTTTCCCCCCCATTATATTTTCTAGGAGTCCGCGGGGACTTACCTCGCTGCTATATTGTGACAATGTATCCTCGTGTCAAATTCCTCTTCATCAGAGTTCTGCTGGATAGAGGAAGCCACCTGCGAGAAGCCATCATCTTCAGAGCTCTGAGAGTCATTTAATGGGATATAATCCTTCCCCTCCTGATGGCAATGTAGATAAATGTTTATAAATAATAGAAAGCTTCACAAATAGAAAGCAGCAACAGTGCAGGTGCATGCAGTTTTCCCATGGTCTCTGTTCTACTTTTTTGGGAAAAACCAGTCAAACATTTTTGTAGAACTAATGGATGCTATGAATAATTGGGTAGATATATGCTTATGAGGGGTTTCATGAAAAAACACATCAAACAAATACTATTTAACCTAGAAAATGATATAAAATGCTCTACTTCATTTGGATACATGGACAAGGCCACCCTCTGCTATCTTTTAGCCCCACTTAACTCTCTGCAGTCTGTTTTAAGCCCTCGTGGTTTAATATACAATAAAGTCTCGCTTATCCAACATAAATGGGCCGGCAGAACATTGGATAAGCGAAAATGTGGTATAATAAGTAGGGATTAAGGAAAAGCCTATCAAAAGTCAAATTGCATTATGATTTTACAAATTATGCACCAAAACATAATGTTTTACAACAAATGGACAGAAAAAAGCAGTTCAATACACAGTAATGTTATGTAGTAATTACTGTATTTATGAATTTAGCACCAAAACATTGCAATGCATTGAAATAGCTGTGGATCTGGGTGGGAGGCAGACTGCATTGGATAATACAGAACATTGGATGAGTGAAGTTTGGATAAGTAAGACTCTACTGTATTGTGTTATACAGGTCCAAGAGTACAACCCGCAAACACACAAGGACATATGATTTATAGAGACAGCTTCTAATTTCAGGCTACAATCCTAATCACATAAGTAGTAAAAAAAAAAAAGGAAAGGGAAATGGAAAGGCTCCACTAAAAATAAAATTGAATTTGGTTACATATTTCACACACACACAAAACTCAACAACAAGGCTTTGTTCATTTGAAAGCCTTGTCAAATTTACAGCTTTTATTGGCAGGACTTGACTATAATCAAATGCATATGCTAGATTTTACTCAGTTGAAAGATACTTGAAATGCTAGCATAAAGAGTGCCAGATGCCAAATAATAAAGATGATTCTATCCTATATGTGTAACAACATGAAAATCTTGAGCTTTCATGAAAAATTCATTTTGCTTCCTTCCTAAAGTCATAGGTAGAAAAGTCTCCATCTGGGATGACTGAGCTGTACTGTTGGGGCAGTGGGCAATAATTATTTTTTTAAAAGTGTGTGTGTACACGCGTGACTAACAGACTTCAAGATAGCAATAGATGATCTTATGCAATGTGATTTCTGATGTCTTAGTTTTGGTCTGGTGAAATTCTACCCTGATATCCCTATTTTTTGAAGCCTCTGATGGTGCAATGGGTTAAACCCTTGTGCTGGCAGGACTTGTTGACCAACAAGTCAGCCCTTTGAATCTGGAGACTGCAGGCTGAGCTCCCTCTGTCAGCTCCAGCTCCCCATGCGGGGACATGAGCGAAGCCTCCCATAAGGGTGGTAAAACATCAAACATCTGGGCATTCCCTTGGCAATGTCATTGCAGACGGCTATATCTCTCACATCAGAAGCGACTTGCAGTTTCTCAAGTTGCTCCTGATATGAAAAAAACACTAATTTTCCAATGAATTATCAAAACTTGGTACTTTACAACTGAGGATCTCATTCTGAGTGTAGTGGTGATATAGTCTGGGCATTTCCTCTTTGGTTGAAATTGCTTGAAGTTTGGCAGACTCTGGCTCTTTCATTCTAAATCAGACTGATAGTAGACAATCAGGTCTTTTAGTTTTAATCATTAGAAGCTTTTCCCGAATCATCCTGAACTATTTTCCCACTTGTCCACAGGTCATTGCTTGACCACCATGTACTTGTGAACAGAAAGTTACTTCCATTCACTTCCTTTTGTTAAAAAACTATTGTCTTGGGGTTCAAAGATCTGTTAACAAGGCAGAAGCACTGACAGTCTTTCTCTTGGTTCCTTCTAACTCAATGGTGCTGAATAGACTGCAACAATAAAATGAAGATCCTGCTTTTGCTTTTAGTTCCTATTTAAATGCTGATATTTGACTTCTTTGTGAGGAAGCCTTATTTGCTTCAATGCAGTCATCACACCAAAGTCATTCACCTGGCTCCTTGCTTGCAAATACCCTTAAAATGCATGTAATATATGAATATAGTGTATGCATACCAGCTATAGAAGCTGATAAAAAGGAATGCCCTAATAACATCACCAGAACTGTTTTTGACTGTACAACAGAAACTTTCCCATGACATCAGATCTAAATCTCTACTTAACAATTCAACAAAGAAAAATAACTATTGAGATGGCTATTGCAGATGATTTCCATGAAGTGATAACGAATGGGGACTCACATGGTGGACATTTTCCTGAAGAAGGTCCCCCAGGATCTCCACCAAGTCAGAAAATGTTGGCCTCTCCTTAGGATCTCCATACCAACAGCTCAGCATTATACGGTAACTGCCAAGAACAAATATAGGTCTGTATGCAAAGCAATCAGCTTCTTTATTCCATATCAATCAAAAATAGCTGCTGAAACAAAAATGAGAGACCCTTTCTACATAAAAGACAAGTTTTTAGGCTGCATACTATAACTGAGCACCAGAAGGAATTGAATGCAATTTTATTCCAGAAGTAAAGGAATGCGTTGGGATTGTGCAATCTCACTTTTTCTGGATATACATTTGGCTGTCTGTTGTTATTGGTGTTTTAAAAATTATTGGCTGTTTGCAATCTGCTTTCACTCACATTTCTGCAGTGGCATATTCTGGAGCTCTCATCCTAGTGCCATCTTTCAGTCTTTGGCAAAATTCCTCATTGATTTGCACTCCAGGATATGGGGAGGCACCTGAAGAAGATAATCCATAAAGTGTCAGGCCATGTGTACGTGGAGTGAGTAAAGCAAGAACGCTTCCATATAATTGGTTATGTGGGACAGCAAAAACAATATTGACAATTCTTTTCATCTTTTAAACTGTATTTTAGCTGCACTTTAAATCATTTTAACTATGTACTTTTCAACAGAGTTGATTGTTAAATTGTCACTTAACTTATGTAAAGTAAGATTTTAGCTGAACTTTGTTCAAATTGTTGGAAGCCTCTTTGGGTCCCATGCCAGGAGAAAGACAGAATATAAATTGATGTTGGCATCTTGTCAGGCAGTTATGATGTTGTAAAACAGACTTACAACCTTGGAACTGTTTCATATTCACATTTACAAATGTGACATTATTGCCATCACTGAAAATGCCCCTAAACTCTACCTTGAAAGTCAGACCAAGCTAAGGACTCTGGCAGCATTGCTGAGTGGGACAGGGAGGGATGCCACATCTGACCCAGCCTGCCAGAAAGTTGTTGTGCAATGAGGAGTTGCATCAAGACCTCACAGGGATCCTGATTCTGCTTGGCACACCATGACTCACTGGTGAGATTGGGCTGGGCCTATCATCCTTCAGCACCCCACTCACCATCCACAGAACTCTTTTCCTCTCTATGGTTTTTAAGGTGGGTTTTAGGAGATTGGAACCTGAGTCAGAGCTGGGCATGTTTAGTCTTCAGAAGAGAAGGCTGAGAGGAGACATGATGAAGGCCATGTATAAATATGTGAGGGGAAGTCACAGGGAGAAGGGAGCAGCCTTGTTTTCTGCTGCCCTGGAGACTAGGACGTGGAGCCATGGATTCAAACTACATGAAAGGAAATTCCACCTGAACATTAGGAAGAACTTTCTGACTATGAGAGCTGTTCAGCAGGGGAACTCTCTGCCCCCGAGTGTGTTGGAGGTTCCTTCTTTGGAGGCTTTTAAACAGAGGCTGGATGGCCATCTGCTGAGGGTGCTTTGAATGCTATTTTCCTGCTTCTTGGCAGGGGGTTGGACTGGATGACCCACGAGGTCTCTTCCAACTCTATGATTTTATAGCTATGACACTGTAGCTATGTGCCCCATGCAGAATCTCAGTCCACGTAAACAAATCCAAAAAAGGTTCCTCTTATATAGCTATAATTTTGTATATATTGTAAGCGAAGTTAGAAAGAATCAGAACCAAGCCTGGAAGTTACTAGCTACAAATAATTACAGATTGAGTATCCCTTGGAACCAGGACAGTTTGGGATTTTAGAACCTGTATTTGCACATTCACATTAAAAAGTATTTTGCGGGTGAGACTCAAGTCTAAATACCAAATTCATTTGTTTAATATCTTATATACATAATATGAAGATAACTTTATACACAGTGTTTTTAAGGATTTGGCATATGTGTATATCGAACCCATCAGAAAGCAAAGGTATTGCCAACTCAGCCACCCAGTGGACAATTTTGGTTTTTAGAATATTTCAGATTACAGAATCCAGGATGAGGGATGTTCAACCTGTACTTGCAATGAGCAAGGCATGTTACAATGAGCAAGGCATGTAACTGCACCTCTTTCGTGGCGCGATTTTACGATACAATAAGTTAGGATAATGATGGCTATACCCGCCTTTCCCCCAAAATTTGAACTTAAGGCAGGTTATAAAAACGCACACAATGACATAAGTAAAAACATGCATATATACATGTATTGTTAAAATGCAAAAACACTATCCATAATATTTAAACTATTATTATTATTATTATTATTATTATTATTATTATTATTATTATTAACACAACAAGATGAGTCCACAGCAAACAAGATCACTCTGCTGGCTGTTGTATTGGATCACATGTCGGACATTTCCCAAGTGTCTAGGACTGTGTGTTGTATCGGTGACTAATGCATTCAGATCCCAGTAAGGTGGCCTTCTGCAGCTGGCAGATGGTAATTTTGTCAATGCCAATTGTGTTTAAGTGCAGGCCAAGGTCTTTAGGCACTGCACCCAGTGTGCTGATCACCACTGGGACCACCTTGACTGGCTTGTGCCAGAGTCTTTGCAGTTCGATCTTTAAATCCTCATATCATGCCAGATTTTCCAGTTGTTTCTCTTCAATCCTGCTGTCACCTGGGACTGCAACATCGACGATTCATACTTTGTTTTTTAACACGATCATGAAGTCAGGAGTATTGTGCTCCAAACTCTGTCAGTCTGAATTCGGAAGTCCCAAAGGAGTTTGACGGGTTCATTTTCTGTAACTTTTTCAGCTTGTGATCCCACCAGCTGTTGTTGTTGTTGTTTTTGTTATTATGTTTATGTTTATTTGTACCCCACTTTATCTCTCCCAAAGGAGACTCAAAGTGGCTTGTAATTACAAGTATGACAATATACAAATATAAAAACAATAAAACAGAATTAAACATAGCAGTATTAAAACTCACAGTTAAAATCCATCAAAATGCATTCAAAGATAAAAACCACAGCACCCCTGACTTGCTCCTAAAAATCTTCTTTTTTTAAAGCCTGTCACTGGAAGGACAGCAGGGAGGGTGCCATTCTGGCTTCCCTGGGAAGAATGGAGTTCCAGAGTCGAGGGGCAGCCACCAAGAAGGAAGGTTTGCTCTCTCATTCCCACCAACTAAGCCTGGCCATAAGAGTAGAGGGACAAAGGTGGGAGATACATTTTACATACAAAGCCAAGATGGGGGGATAAACACAACAAGTGAAGAAAAATATTGACTCTAGTTTGTTGATACAGGTTGGTACAGGACCAGCAAAATTTTGCAACAAAATTGGAGTAGATTATTTAATAATTGGGATGTCAACAGATATTTCAATTTGTACAATGTGCTGGAAACAGTTATCTCTTTTCTGTTATGCTGAAATGGACTAATGTGACTCTGTCTTTCAATAGCAGAACATCTGTAGTTGAGTTAGAGCAGTATATATAAAGGTGCTGGGAAAACAAGCCAATTTAGGGGATTCTTGCAGCAACCTAGTTTCATAAAAATATAAGGGTTCCACTAGAAAGCCCAACTGTTCACTACTCACCTAAAGAGAAGATCTCCCACAGGAGGACTCCAAAGGACCAGACGTCACTTTGGGTGGTGTAGACTTTATCAAAGATGCTTTCTGGAGCCATCCACTTTAGGGGAAGACGAGCCTACATGACAGAAATAGATTTGCATGGAAGTTACAGGTCAGGGAAAACATTATGGCAACAAAAATTCCCTAATAGCAACTAAAGGTGGGGAAAGAGCCAAAGGAAAGTCTCCAGTCATCCAATAGTAGCTAAGAGAGGCAGGCACCCAATGAGATAAGCAAGGAATGTCTGCTTTGGAACAGCTGCAGTCTGGTATTATCAATCTACCTAGATGTTAGTGAAACTAACGAATTTCCAGAACAGATAGAAAGCTGAACATTGGCAAAAGTTTTACCTCAAAATTATTGGATAAATATCAAACAAATCAGGAAATCCAACTCTGATAATGTGCACTTCAGGGCAGATATTTTTTAAAAGCCAGGCTTATTGGTTTTAGTGACTGATTCAAAACAGTTTTGAAGGAGATAAATAAAATTATATGCCACTTTCAGTGTTTCTATTGTTTACTGTTTACCAATAGTGAGACAACGCAAACTATAATTTCATTTGGGGATTGCATATCAGTGATGCTAAACATCAGATGTGTGAAAATATTTTTTGGCAAGGAGACCATGTTGATTACTAAAGATTATAGGTTACATTTTATAGCCATATGGTATAATTGGCAGCACTAAAGGTTTATTCTATGAGTGGGGAACTGTTTTCCCTTCAGTTGTAGACAGACCTACATTTCCAAAGCATTACTCCAGTAAAGCCAATGGACTCAAGTGGCAGAAGGCATGGTTTAATAACATCTATAGCACTACAACTTTTCTATCCCTGGTTTACATTGTCCAATTTTTATACAAATAACATTTGTATTTTGTGCCAGACAAGTGCTTTAGACAATGCGTTTCTTTATTTCATTCCTGCGTTGTGTAGAACAGATTGTAAACTTTCCCCTTGCATTATAATGGCTGCTATGCAAATACAGGTTAACTATCTCTTACCTGAAATGCTTAGATAATAAACAGCTTGGATTTTATTTTTGTTTTTCAGATGTTTGAATATTTGCATTTGAACATAATGAGATATCTTGGAGATGAGACCCAAGTCTAAAAATAAAATTTATTTATGTCTCATATACACCTTGTACACATAGCCTAAAGGCAATTTAAACATTTGTGTATGAAACTAAGTTGGTGTACATTGAGCCATGGGAAAGCAAAAGTGTCACAATATCAGCCAACCATATGGGCGGTTTCAGATTTTGGAGTTCAAGATAAGGGATGCTAAACATGTACCTGATTGCAGAGTGCTGGATAACTACAGAGTTCTAAAAACAATTGCCATTTGTTTATATACATAGCCTGTAACTCACACTGCCCTTCCTGACATAGTCAGGGTCCTTGTAAATATCCCGGGCGAGACCAAAGTCACAGATCTTCACCACATTGTTTTCTGATAGCAAGATGTTACGAGCTGCCAAATCTCTGTGGATGCACTAAAGGGAAATGAGACCAGGGAAGGAATGGAGAGACAAAAAACATTCCTGAAAATTGATTCCAGTGGTAGGAACAAAAAATATGAAAAATATATGCAGAAGTCACTTTCACATCTTTTCTCTAAAATGAGTACGTAAAACAGCATACTAATACTATGACCACCAGTACTTACGTATTTCCTCTAGGGTAGGGGTGGGAATTATACAGCCCTGCAGGTGTTATTGGTGTACAACTCTCATTAGCCATAACAAGTTTAACTAATTGTGCTAAAAGCTGGAAATTGCAACCTAACAATATCTGGAGGGTAGCATAATTCCTATCGCTGCTTTAAAGTCATTTTATCCAGGTCTTTTTTGCGTACCATAAGCAACAGTGCCTTTTGAGAAAGCAGCTAACCCAACTTATTGCATACAAGCCTTCCTATTTGAGGAAAATGTAAGGAAAGTTCTGCTTAATCAAAAATATCTAGGCAGTTTGTCCATGTGATGCATGAAAGCAGAGCCTTCCACTGTTTCCCTCTAGTGACAGAATGTCAGTGGCACAGGTAAGGCATGCATCTCCTATTTTTCTTTCTCTTTTCCAACAAACAGCATCCCTTCATCTATGAACATGGTTCAGTCTCAGTGGGACTTCATTCGTTTTAGGATATGTCCCTCAAATGATTCTCCCTTACATTATTCTGATACTTCTATAAGCCTTAGGTTTCTCCAGTTCTGCAGATATTACATTCTTGTATATGAATTCTATCCACATTCATGATTTTGATTATATCTACATTCATGGCAGAAGAATGAAGCCTGAATCAGTTGTTAATCTCAACTATAGTAGGCTTACTCCGTCAATGACATTTACATAAGTGATGACTTTACAAGTTCTCATTCACTTAATAGTTGGATTTAAGTCTTGGTTTTCTATTAGTACACTGGGTGTTGTTCCTGGAACTCTGGGCTCTAAATAGTCATTGTGGCCACTGACAAACTTATCACCCTTTATTATGGGTACTTGATTAGGAAATACTTCATTTTGCCTATTCTGGATTCAATTTGATAGAATGCGCTTTAGTTCCACCTTTTTCATATTTGCCTTCTCCACACCATGAAGAATTTTATGTACCTGTATCGTGTCCTCCCAATTTTAACCCTCAAAAAACGCATGTCAGGATATATCAATGAAGTAAGTCACCTTTCTGGAAGCAAGAAACTCCATACCACGGGCCACCTGGAAGCTGTAGCAGATCAGATCTTCCATTGTCAGAGGGCTCTGCCACAAATCATCCACTGTATAAACATGCAAGTATAAGGTTATATTCTTAAAGCTTGTAACAGAAAAAATGTGACTTTCATATGGAAATGGTTTCCCTTTTCTTGAGGATGTTCCATGAAGATTTACTGGCTATGTAAAGAGAGTAGTGGGGAAACTAGACATAATCCAGGGCACAGTTAAATATGCTTAAATTCAAGAGATCTCAATGGTCTTTGGGTTGGACTATAATTGTCTACTATTTATTATTTGTGTTTCTGTAAGCACAACCTGAAACTATATAAGCAAAAAGTGAAAGATTTATACACTCTAAAGAGAAACCAGAGTACAACCCGAGTCTTTATAGGTTACCAAGTCTCCCTGCAGTAGATATTGCTTTTGCACAAACTGAAAAGTGGTGCTTGACATTGGTCAAAAGTTGTTAAATTAATGTGAGACAGATGTGATATATATAGCAGGACACCAAGATTGAGATTGGAACGTGCCTGTGGGGAATTATGCATCTGTTTCCTGGTGAAAAAAATCAGTATGATGTATGCCTGGTGCTGCAGGCTTCATTTCAGAAAAAGGAACTGGCACACCAGTACTGAGTATTCCTTGTCTAAGAAAATCCTATTACATTCATGGGCTCACCAAAACTCGATAGTATACAAAGGGATCTTGTAGCAACTTTGAGACTAAGAGAAGGAAGTTGGTAGCGCAAGCTTTCATAGACTTAAGTCTACTTCATTTTTTAATGAGCACTGATACATATATGTTTTGTACCTTTCTACTTCTATTTGTTACTCAGCACCTAGATTAGATAATTTTTTTTCTAAATGCTGCTCTTTAAGGTGTTGTACTATACAGTCCATTGTATGATACTGTACCTTGGAAAAGTAACTATTAAGGAGTATAACGCCTTAAAAATTTCTTGCTCTGGGTGCATCATTCCAAAAGCAACATTTCCAAGCTCTTCAGATCCCATGACTTTTTGAATATTAGCTTCATGCCCAGGGAACCAGTTTTACTAGTCATACCCCTTAATGAAAACTCCAGCTCACAAAATTTAATTTAAAGCAAAGCAAGAAAGCACCCATGATGTACACAATATATGATCATTTGAGATGGTCTGCTGAAGTTGGCAAAGTCCCGGAACTGGTGTTCAAGACTTGGGAAGTAGGATGCAATTCTCAGTAAATACAGCACAAGCTTTTGTGTCCTCTTTCACTTTTTGCTCTGGCTAATAGTGCTGAGAAACAAAATTTAGTCCTCTCAGAGCCCTTCCAGATAGGCCCTATATCCCAGGATCTGATTCCAGATTTTCTGTTTATCTCAGATTATCTGGAAGTGCAGACTCATATAATCCACTTTAAAGAAGAAAAACTCGGATCAGATCCTGTGATACAGGGCCTGTTTGGAAGGGCCCTCAACCTTGCATTCTTTCTTGGTTACTTGAACTTCTTCCCACTTCTAGTTCTGGAATGAAAGAGAACATTATTGATTTAAACATGGACCACACTTATGAGTAGAAAGCACTTATTAAAAAGATCTCAATAACTTTATGTTCATATTCTCTGGAAGGCACTTTCCTTCTGAAAACTAAAGGGAAGAACTAGATAGCTACCTTCTTGCATGAGAGGAGGTGGGGGTGGTACTGATGCTTGGCTCTTGTTCATTAGGAGTCTGTTAAGGATTGTGCTGTCACTGGTACCAGATCGACTTCGCCTGTCTGCTCTTACAGATTCCACAATGGAACGAACCTGGATTCGCAATCTTGGAGATTTTTCCTAGGAAGCAGGCCAAACCATAAAGGTTACCATGAGACGTTGTGCTTTAGGTTCAGTGAACCAGAACTATAAGCCACATTTTGCAAGAGGAAATTCAGTGATGAATCCATGTATTTGTACCACATCTACCACAGAACTCTAAGACATATGGTGGATATAAGAGGGATATTCAACAAATGTTGGCCTGTTTCTCCTGTAGGAGTGGGGGAAAAATCCACAAATATTAAAAAAAACATTAAAAAGCACACCTTTCAATTGTTGAGCATCCCAGAGGAAAAGAATCCTGGACTGGCTAGAATCTTTTCAGTCTTGAACATTTTCTGTGCAAAATTTACATATGGTTGTTTTGCACAGAAAACAGCATTTTATGTACAGAAAATAATTACATGAATCCTGTTGTAGTTTCATGTCTTTGTAAGTGGTATATACATGTGTAAGCCATACATATACTGAATGTAAATGGGTTTAGAAGTACGACCTGATCTAAGACGTTTTTAATAAAGTGTGGGATTAAATTTCTGTTGAGTGTAATAAAATGCAACACATACACCCAGTGAACACAGAATGTCAGACCCTTGAATAAATTAATATGCGGTTATCTACATACAAACTCTGAATGTAAAAAAATGGTGACAGCTCACTTGCTGGACAAGGATATCAAGGTAATTATTCCCCAGTCTGTCTCACCCTACCCCTGATTCCACTCTTGTCTTGATTTGGACACAGAATACACATTGCAAAAATATCTTAGAAACTTTATAGTAATTTTTTATGTTGATGTTTTATGTTAGTTATAATTTTTGATAGATTACATTTTATTTAAGCTATACTTTAAGATGTCTTTTATATGGGGTATTCTGGGTTATTATATTTGTACTTATTGTCATTAAATGTTTGCCTTTTTGTTTGTTGGAATCCGCCCTGAGTCCCCCAGGGGAGATAGGGCCAAATATAAATAAATTTTATTATTATTATACTGACACAAAAACACAGTGGGACACAGAAAACGAGATATATATGCTGGATTTTTTTTATCACAAAATCACAAGTCAAAGTTTTTGTTGTTGTTGTTGTTGTTGTTGTTGTTGTTATTATTATTATTATTATTATTATTATTATTATTATTCATTTCCAAAGTTCCTTCACTGTGAAACCAGAGGAATGTTGTGTTTTCAAAGAGGACCGGGATCCACGTACAGACAAATTATTTTATAGGCATGGATTTAGTCTTGGTCTTAAAGGGATAGTAGATTGCTCCTTCCCTTTTCATTCAACTTTAACTGGGAGTTATAATTTTCCTTATTCAGCATCTTTTATTCACTGCAAAATGATTACAGCATTTAAGATATTCAATAAAAATGGTACTTGAATTATTGTCATTCACATACCCTGTAAGGACTAAATCCTTCCCGTTTAGTCCTCAGATAGTTGGAAAGATTTCCATATTTACAAAATTCAACAATAACCATAAGTGGACCTGAAAAAGAAAGAAAACGTATTCTTATCAAGATACTAAGAAATATATTAACAAAGAGTGGGCAGCTTTGTGTTGGCTTGACTTCCATACTGTACACTCCTCATACATACTATCAAAAATGCCCTGGGATGATATATGACGCAGGCATGAAGAGTGAATGAGAAAATAATAGCTCTTCTAATATTTTGCAAATCTCTCATTTGCCATCTAGGTTAATCAGCAATATTTACCATTAGGTTTGGTGCAGGCACCTAACAGGTTCACTACATTCAGATGGTTTCCAATGTGGATGAGGATCTTCAATTCTGACATGAGTGCCTTGTGCTCACTTGCAGTCGCTCCCTCTGAAAACAATTTTTAAACAACAATACATTATTATGATAGCTACACATTCATAAGATATGCTATTCTAAAGCTCTAGATTTTATTGCTCAACTGAAAGCTGTAGCAAATATATTGCAGCAAATGAATAAATACATGTTTAGCTGTTATTTCAAAGCTCAAGAACATATCAATCTAGTTTAAAGAGATATCAAACAGCTCCAGTTTAATCCAGATCTTTGTGCCTCCATGGCAAATTTATTACAGCCTAACATAATACGGTTCATTCTAGTCCAAATGTAAGCTATGCCTTATTGATGATGGTAAGTAGCAAAAACTGCTAATTTCAGTGGAATGACTGTGTTTTCACCTTGGCTTTCTGGTATTTGGCCAGGATTGTTTTTAGATGTAGATTTCCATTACAAACACTGTTCAGGTCTCGGATTTAATTTTAAATGACCCTATTAAACTCTAAACCCTTTGAAATAACCAGGGGGAAAATATATTTCCCTCTATTCTCTCTACCCTAATTGATGCTGGTGCTAATTTTAGAAGAATTCCAACAGTGAATTGTAATAAATAGAGTTTTAAATGCTGCAATTTAAAATTTAACATTGATTAGGGGAATGTGTTATTAATTTTAGATGCTTTAAGGTATTCTATAAAATGAGATCCTCCCAGTTTTTCAGTGTTGCAGCACTCTGATTAGGGCTCAAGCATTAATCAGTGTTTCTAAAAGACAAGTAAGCCTTAGGTATTTTTGTATGTTGAGCAAAATATTAAGATCTCTCTCCTTTGTTCCTTGCCTTCCCTGGCACTGCTTTGTGTCAGTACAGATAGGTTTTTCCCTTCCTGGGACTCCCATTCCCTTTGCCCATTCAGAAGCTCTGAGGACAAGCACTCAGCTGCTTTTCTCTTTCTTACATTTTCCTTGAGGGCAGAATTCTGGATAGTTTGGAGAATAGCAGTATGCAAAAGGATCTTGTAGTACCTTAGCGACAAATGAGGGAATGAAGTTGGTGATATCAGCTTCCATAGATTCAGAGTGCATCTACACTGTAGAATTAATGCGGCGTGATAGCACTTTTAACTACCATGTCCCAGTGCTATGGAATTATGAGAGTTTCAGCTTCTAAGGCCTTTAGCTTTATCTGCCAAAGAGTACTAGTACATCACCAAACTATAACTCCCATGATTCCTCAGCATTGAGTCATGGCAATTTTTTTCATGTGAGGAGCGACTTGAGAAACTGCAAGTTGCTTCTGGTGTGGGAGAATTGGCCATCTGCAAGGACGTTGTCCAGGGGATGCCCAGATGCTTTGATGTTTTACCATCCTTGTGGGAGGCTTCTCTCATGTCCCCACATGGAGAGCTGGAGCTGACAGAGGGAACTCATCCTCTCTTTCCCCGGATTTGAACCTCCAACCTGTTGGTCTTCAGTCCTGCCAGCACAAGGGTTTAACCCATTGCACCACCAGGGGTTCCTCGCCATGGCAGTTAAAGTGGTGTCAAACTGCATTAATTCCATTGCACAGATGTACCTTTAGTTTACCTCCTTAATGCATCTAAGGAAGTAGACTTAATCTAAAAAGAGTGGTTAATATGCAAACAAAGATAATTGGCAGAATATTAATTAAAGATACTCTGTCCTTTCTGTGAAAAAATTCTTAGTTTTGATTGCTTAAAGAATCTGTGTTTGTGACCATATTAATGGTTTAGGAGCATATTAAATAACATTTGAGACAACAGGGCTGTAAGGCAGGGCTTTGGGATGATACCACAGCTAAGACCTCTTTGGCTACCTGCTTTCTTTGACTTCAGCCTCCAAGAAACCCAATAAAAGAAATGAAGAAAATTGCTATATGAATACAGGTTACCATCTGCCTAGTAACAACTTGCCATGGAATCAAGTACCAGTTGATATACCTATGCAGTTGTCAGTACTATCTTGCCAAGTAGTGGGGAAACCTCCCACACGTCTTTGAGAGCAGGTGAATAATGAAATTGTTTTTACCAAGCCTTTTGCTTACCAATTAGAGCACATTCACACTATCCCATCGTGGTGCATTGAGGCCACTTTTACTGCCATAATTATCTCTTGTGGAAAGCTGTGACTTCCAGTTTAGGAATGAGCATTTCCAATTGTCAGCCAGACAACTCTGGTGGTTCTGTGAGGTTCAATAAGATGGAACCACGGCTGCGAAGTGCTAGAATTACATATGTAATATGAGTAGGCCTCTGATGCACACCACAATAAGTTACAGGCTGGTAAATACCAATCTGTCCTCACTCACTGTGAAATTCTAGTACAAATCAGTTGTCTAGATGTCATTGGGCTTGATTCTTTCCCATCTGGATCTGATTCAGTTGTGTGTTATTTAATGAAACATTATCTTCAAGGAGCAATGCCAAAAATTACCCACACTGATATGCCATAGTATTTATATTAATTAATCTGCTACAAACTGATTAGTCAGCTATGAGATGGTGCATTCCCCCACTGCGCTACCAACAGTCAACAGCTGAGGAGGGTGGAATGGGACATTCTCTAGTTATTGTTAGTGACAGAATGAACAGAGTTAATGGCCCAGAAATCAAGCATTAAGAAAAATCTATAGCTGATCATTAGTCACTTCCATGAAAGTCGGTGAGTTTTTTGGCTTCTCCTCTTATAATCACAAGTGGGTATCCAGGAGCTGGTGAAGGAGCTATTTAAATCAGAAGAATCTGGTTCAGTGATTACTTTTAACCATATGGATGTCACGAAACAGGCAACTAATCATTGCTTTGTGCTTTCTAGTAGTTTCTGTCTTATGAGGAAATGCTATCATATGATTTTCTTGGCAAGATTTGCTCAGGGGTAGTTTGTTCTCCTTAGTGGATGAAAGAGTTTTATTTGGCCAAGGTTTCATGTCAGGAGCAACATGAGAAACTTCAAGTTGCTTTGGTGTGAAAGAATTGGCCATCTGTAAGGATGTTGCCCAGGGGACACCTGGATGTTTTACTATCCTGTGGGAGGTTTGTCTCATGTCCCTGCAAGGGAAGCTGGAGCTGACAGATGGGAGCTCACCTTGCTCCCCAGATTCGAACCACCAACATTTTGGTCAGCAGTCCTGCCTGCGCAAGGGTTTAATTCACTGTGCCACCAGGGGATCCTACCCAAGCCACTCAGTGGGTTTCCAAAGCTGAACTGAGATTAAAACTCTTAGTCTCATTGTATTTTAATGCTGATGTTTATATTTACCTTGCAATTTATGTTGCCTACCTTTGAGCATTTTAACTGCCACTGTCTCACAACTGTTGCTCTTATTAATTCCAAAAGCAGAGGCTTCCATCACTTTCCCAAAAGCCCCATGGCCCAGGACTTTACCTGAAAAAGAAAATGAAATTGGAGAAGGAAGGAATCACAGCAAAACTTATCACTCAAGGTGCAAGTGAGGGGACTATTCAAAGAGCACATAAAATAGTAACTTGAATGGGGCCAAAGCAAAACAGGAAACTAGGGACAAAAAAGAAGAAATGGTGTGGGAAAAAGGAAGAGGAAAGCATGGCTCTTTCACCAACTTCAGGTGGTGGTGCTTTCATAGAAAGGGACAGGAAATATAACAAGCCCAGTGGTGACAAAGCAAGGGAAGGAAGTGGCTAAATGAACAGAGATGCCATTTGTTGCTCCCCTTGGCATACAAAGGAAGAAGACAGTCATTTCATTACAATTCAATCTATCATCTACTTCTCTTTTTGACAGACCCACATGGTCTGTTCTTATAGGCAATAACAACTGGGAATAGTTATACCTATTCCTTACTCATCAACAAAGAACATGTCAAAATGTACCTAGTCGAAGTCGCTCTCGAGGAAATTCCCATTTGCTGGAGTCATAGGGCAGGTATTCACATTGTTCTTCCAAAGGAACTTCACCTGGGTCCATGATAATGGAAAGATAGCCAGTCTTGATATCAGCATGAGCGGGCTGCAGGGAAAGGAAGGGAAAGTTTGTAGATACCTGTCATTGTGGAATGAACATCTATTAATTTGCATTTTCTCCCAAGTCTCGAATTTTTGCTTGTCAGAGCAAAGGGGGCAATGAAAAAGGGCAATGCATTGGGGGCAAGGATACTTCAGCTTTAATACCATATTCCTTTGAAATTGGTTTGTTTGTTTTTTTAAAAAAAACACTAGGACACATTGAATTTTTCCACTTGTCCACACATTAGTCCTTGCCAAAGACATTTACAAGCCAAGAGTTTGTAAGTTCATCTCTTAAAACAGAGGAAATTAACAATATGTGCTTTGTTGTTTTGGCAAAATGACAAAAGGAATCTGTTTAGCTAGAAATGGGCAGCCCTATTGATTTTCCTTCCACTGCAATGCCAGCTGTGTTCAGAGGTGGTTGTCAAAGCCAGGGCTGTTTTTTTTTTTGTTCTGATGAGAACCAGTCTTTTTGACTCAAAGAAAAAAACCAAACCTATTGAGTAGGAACATAGAAGTTGTCATTGGTCATCCTGTGGAATCATTGTCAGAAACTCTTGACCATCGCTTTGCATTGGAGGATTAATGCAACCATCTGACAAGGTTCTTGTAGGTTTTTTTCGGGCTATAGGGCCATGTTCTAGAGGCATTTCTCCTGACATTTCGCCTGCATCTATGGCAAGCATCCTCAGAGGTAGTGAGGTCTGTTGGAAATTCCTATTTCCAACAGACCTCACTACCTCTGAGGATGCTTGCCATAGATGCAGGCGAAACGTCAGGAGAAATGCCTCTAGAACATGGCCCTATAGCCCGAAAAAAACCTACAAGAACCTAGTGATTCCAGCCATGAAAGCCTTCAACAATACATTAACCATCTGACAGTTTACTTTTTGTTTGAGTTATGCCTCGGTTATTGCAAAAAGGAATTCTATAGAAACAACTAGTTTTGCATGTAATTAGTTATGCATGTAAAACAATAACTATGTATATATAACAAGCTCCTCCTAACATCTGGGGTTACTTACTCTCTTAATGTTACAGAAGATGAGGATCAAGAGAATCCAGAAGAAGATGGCAATGACACCTGTCCCAATCAAGATCACAATCTCCACATTGGTCCTGTCATCTGAACCTATGGAGGTCAGGAAGAACAATGGCAGGACAAGCAACAGAAAGAAAAAAAGCTTGAAATGTGCACATAGCAAAACCACATCAAGAGGAGTAAAAACTCTATTGGAAATATTCTTGATTTAGTTCAGGTTGGGCCAAGATTGGGGAGGATTATTTTTGTGGTTTGAATGTGAGATGATGAAGTTATTTCAGCATGGCAAAGGGCCTTTCAGTTAGATTCTTGCTTTCTTTGCCTTAGGCTTTCTTTCAAAACACATTTCCTTAGGGAGTTGAAGTTAATAATAGTACCTTCTACAGAAACACTGGCGGAGGAATTCACACAACCCTTGGCATTGCAGACACTACACAGGTAAAGCCCAGCGTCCTCTTCTCTCACCCTCTGGATACTCAGCCTCTGATTGGAATCTGCCAGGTCAATCCCTGAAAATAGGCAGAAGGGCAAGGGCTTTCAGGTGAGACCAAGCGGTGCCTAGGCAGGGCTTGGATTCTCATACTTTGGTCGGACATTAAAGGTCTTTCTAGATAGCAGAAGCCTGGACTGAAATTAGACCAGGATGATCAAAAATGGTATTGGTTCTTTTGACCATCAGTCACCACAACTACAAAGGTCCTTGGGCACATTCATGGAGATATGGTTTATCTTCCAACGGTAATGCTTATGAAACAGTATCACCCAAATACATCACAAAAAGACACAACTCATATGGAAAATATTAAATCCGTAAAGAGAACTGAAGCAGAAAGGTGACACCAATTCCAGGTGGCGGTTAGAAAATTAGAAAATGGCTTCTAATTTACCACATGGTAATTTTTACAGATCATCTTAATTCACAGCTTTTTTTTTTGGGGGGGGGGGATGTTTACCAATATGTCCATATCTGAATTATTATTAATAAAAGCTAGACATCCTGCAAGTATTTTCTTAAAGGCAGAGATATGAAAAAATACACATTAGTGTTCCTTTCCTCATTGGGAACTATCTCAATAAACTTTACATTAATGTGCACTTTTCCAATCACTTGGTTCCTTTGCATTAATTATAGATAGATCTGATTTATTTCTTGTAAATCTGTATATCTGCATCTAACACAAGGTATGGTCATTGATTTATTACCATCCTCCCCACATTTCATCATCACAACAATTCTTTGAAGTAAGATAGGCTGTGATAGACACTGATCCAAACTCGTCCAAAGCGTTACATGGCTGAGTGGAGATCTGTAGTCTGAACTGTCTTGCATAAGCTCAACCTTCTACCTGCATTAGTTACATCACTGTACTAATTTTGATACCATAAATAGAAGACTATTGAACCGAATGCCACATAAACAATGACTTAAAAACAAAACATGAACCTGAACTTTCAAATCTCTATGCCCCAAACCAAAGCCTCCAGTCCACCCTACCTGAGACCTCTTCTACCAGCTTCTCATCCTTATACCAGTTGATATTTGGGATGTGTGTGCCATCCACTCTGCAGCGCATCTCTATGGAATCACTGACGTTCACCAGGATGTTTGACAGGCTTTGCTTCAACCTGGGAATTTCCAGAGCTAGAGGAGTAACATTAAGGTAATAAAAGTCAAGCACACAAAAATAATTTGGATGGAAAGTGGACAAGAAACACTCTGGAAGGAGAAGGGCGATTTTGATCATAATTTCCTTTTAAACAATAAACAAAATATGTAAAAGCTGTGTAACTGTCATGAGATCCAACTATAACAGAAGAAAGTGTCAGTTTTCTTCTCTAGAAAGATTTGTGTGGCGTCCAGTATTGTTGGTCCTCCATATCCATAGGTTCTGCACCCATGGATTCAACCAACCACAACTCAAAAATAACTGAAAAAGACAATTTAAAAAGCAAACCTTTAAATTTTGCCATAAACTATGCTGATGTGAAAGCTGTTGTAAACTCCCACTATTTCACAGATCCACAAGTTATCTCTGGTATTTGTTTGAACTGTTTATCATTTTATGTAAGGGGTGCCATTTTACTGTGGCATTGTATATAATGGGACTGGAGCATCCATGGATTTGGGTGTCTGTGGAGAGTCTTGGACCCAAACCACAGTGGAAACCAAGGGATAGCTGTATGTACACAAAAAGTTGGGGCTTTTAAAATGTTTTTGACATCTCAGTTCATGCTCTGAAGGGTGGAGGAGACATAACATTCTCCAAGAGTTAAGCTATGGACAAACACTTAGGAACCAGCTTCAGTGAATTAATTTTAACCACAGTTTATGTTGGTGCTATATCACACAATAGTTAAGCTTAGCAGGAAACATTCACACTTTAGAAGACAGGAGGCAAGAGGTGGCAATACCCAGCTCTCTCACACAACCAACATAATCTTTAGTTAGAGTTAACTAAATAGAAGACTTGTTAGAGTTTTCTGTTTAATCCCAAGATCCTTGTAACCTAATTTCAAACTATTATCTTGAGATTAAATAGAAGAGCTGTTAGAGATGATGGTAAAGATGAATGGGCAGGAATGTTCCCTTTCCCTTGGCCCCTAAAAATCTACAAGTAATATATTTGTCCCAAAATATGAGCTTTCCAAATAAGAGTATACTGTTATGGCCCATGACATTTCATTTGCAAGCAATATTATTCAAAAATTTAACAAGAGCCCTTTTGCTACCACTTGAACCTGACAGTCAGTTCAGGATACCTATGAGCTTCATTACTTCTGACTCTAGTGTTCAAAATTGAAGTTAGCTTCAGAAATGTTTAAAACCCATTTAATAATAATAATAATAATCACCGCATTTCTTATTGGAGCCATTACTTTTTCTGCTCCTCCAGTTTTGAGACCTAGCACTAACATTATTTCTTCCAATTAAAATTGTGCACATTGGTGTTTCTTAACACAACCCAGTGATTCCAGCCATGAAAGCCTTCGACAATAATTGCGTTTCTTCATTTTCCACAGAAAATGTGGGTTTTTCCAGATTGATTTAAAGATGTGTGAGTTCTTATAATATAGCTCTCTAGGGCCCCCTCTACACTGTCCTTATATCTCAGGGTCTGATCCCAGATTATCTGCTTATCCCATATTATTTGGCAGTGGAGACTCCTATAATCCAGTTCAAAGCAGATAACCTGAGATCAGAACCTGGGATATAAGGACAGTGTAGAAGGGGCCTGGGTTTTCTGGGTATTGTTTGTAACACTTTATTATCTACACTAAAGGGCTCTTTTAAACTTTTTTGGTTTTTATTCAGAGCATGGTTTGCTGTGATAGTCCTATGATTTGAAGGAAAAGTTTTTTCTTCCCAGGATTTTACTGTTTTGCTTCAGAGTCATAGAATTTTAGTAGAAAAATGCCACTTTGCTGATGTCATATAGTACTGTAACACTAATTTAAAAGAAAACAACAACAACATAGAGGATGTGCTGGAACTAAAACAAACTCTCTTGAAAGTGAGATAAAATGTTGCAGCTGGTACTAGGAATTGCCAAACATATCATAGTCTGGGAAAAGAAGATTATTTTTATTTGGATATTTGAAAACAAATACTGCAACTTACAACATATTTAACTAATTTGGAAGAGACTTGTTATTTACAAACAAGATCAATTTGTAGTCCATAGAGTATCTTCCAGGATAAATCTGAGTAGTTAGAATTCCCTACACTATTTTGATTCAGTCAAACATTTTCCTTTCTATACAGCTTTCATCATTACAAAGCCCTATTTATGAGCCTTGACATTTTCATTCCAGTTCCCTTACCATGCACGGAGATGTATCTTTTGTGACAGTGTTTCTCATTGTTCTCTCTGTTTTGCACTTCACACACATAATCTCCTTCATCCTCAAGAGAAATACTTGGGATGGTGAGTGTCAATGCAGCATAATTGGAGCTGGGTTTGAAGTGCAATTCTCCTTGCATTTTAGTTGCATAATGGTGGACGTTCTTGCAGTCCAAAACCATTGGATTGCCCTCTTCATCGTGGAGTGTGGAGAGGTTGAGCCGGTACCACTGCAGGTTGTCATAGGTATAGTTATCCGCATTGCAACTTAGCCTCAAGTCTTGTCCCTCAATGAGCTCTTCTGAAGGCTGTGACTCAATTTCAAATCCATCTGGGATGGCTGCCAGAAAAACAACATAATGAAATAGGTGTGTGATTTGAGACTCCAATATCTAATTATGTGGCCCTAACTAGGTATATAGGATACAATATCCCTTTACATCCAGAGCATATAGGATGCCCTGCTGCTCATGGCTGTGTGCTTAGGAAACATGGGAATCATTGATCTCGCATATATTCTCTCTCTCTCTCTCTCTGTGTATGTATGTATGTATATATGTGTGTGTGTGTGTGTGTGTGTACACACACAAACAGATGCTTCTTGAATTCCAGATCAAAATAATGTTCAGCATCTTTAAAAAAAATGAAAGGAGCTGCTCATAAATAAGAGAAAACAAGGCCTACTGAGATAAAATGTCTGCTACAATTATGCAACCACAATTCACATTTATATGATTAAGACTGGATATACAGCTTGAGAGAAAAGCAATGAGAGGGACTGCATATTGAGAATGAGTCCCATGCTCTCATTGTCAAATTATTTGGGTTTCTAATAGACAAATATAAGTTCTCTATCACACACGGCATTCATATCTATCAGAAGATTAAAGGCATTGGTAGTAACAACACACATATATCTGTGAATTCACACACTCTTGAGAGGATAAAACACCAGATTCCTAAATAATGACAAGAGTTAGGGATACAATCTAGTTGAGAAGCACGACACTAGAGGGTGCTACTGCACCAGAAACATCTGGGAACTCTGTCTTCCAGCTAAAATAGCTTGGATTTCTCCACTTACAAGGGGAACTCAACTTGTGCTTTCTGTGTTCTAGCCCTGTGATATCTCTTTCTTTGCTACTATAATGTATAACAGAGACCAAGCTGTTCATTAACCATCTAGATCTCCAAATTTTAAATCTTTATGGGAGCTGTATTAAGTATGTTCATCATCATGATCATGGTTTTTTAATTGCCAGTTTGAAATAAAACATTTAAATTCAAACTATACACCTTATATTAAAACATAAAATATTTGGAAAGTAAAATTTCCAAAATTCAAATGCTGAAATCCCACTCTGAACATTTATTTAAGATTTTGGTCATATGATGAATCATGACTTGAAGTGCTCATGGTTTAAGTGATTTTAGTGACAGAGTTCTACCAGCAAAATCAAACCATAAGAACCAAAATTAGATGAAAGGTTTAACAAAGAAATCCCATGTATTATAAATCTGGAGTGTGGGAGTCTACATACATTTGGTTTTCCACAGTTGAGGGTTTAACTTTTGCAGATTTGACTATTCATGGATCTGATTAATATATTCTCTCAAGGAACTGCTAGTCAATTTCGAGTGGTGGAAAATGACCATAGAGTCATACTGGGGGACCTAGGAATTAACAGAGGGAACAAACACTTCTCTACGAATCTCTGGCTCCTCTAGTGTAACTTCCAAAGCTGATGATAGAATCATGCTGGAGGACCTAAAGATTCCTAAATAAATATTCTCTCAGATTTAAAAAGGATCTTTTGTATTTGTGGTTTTTCCACTTTGGGGGGGGGGGGTCTTCTGTTCTTAACATGTGTGAAAGTGTAGTGCCTACAATTTACAGTACAATACTATGCTTTGCTATCAAGTCACCAATGTCTTCTGGTGATTCCAGCAGTGGTCTACATCTTCTTATCCATGTGTGTCAAACTCATTTTCACCGAAGGCAACATCAGCCTTATGATTGCCTTCAAAGGGCTGTTTGTAATTGTAGAACTGTATAAATGTAACTATGTTCCCCTGGCACTGAAAGTCTTGCAGGCCATATGACATGACGTGGTGGCCCAGATTCAGCCTGTGGCCTTGCATTTGATATGTGTGATACACAGTGATTATAATTGCAATGAAATGGATTGTTGCTTGATTGTGAGTACATTATGCTCTTATAAACATGCTCAATCCAATTGTTTCTAAGGAGGATGCGGTTGGCTTGTGTTTCAAATCTCTGAAGCCTCCAAATATCTATGAATGGTATGCATGGTTTGAACAAATGACATACACAGAGGAAAAACGGTGAGCCCCTTTGCATTCTGATACTCACTAGTCACATAGAAATAGATGAGCCGTTCATCACGACCAACTTTGTTGGATGCTACACACTTGTACATGACAGAAACATTGGCTTCTTGGATGATCAAATTACTGACCGTCTGGTGAAGGAAAAGAAAAGCAGAATGGATTAAATGGAAAATGGAAAAATGCAGAACTTTTACCGTACCTTATCTCCTATCGGGAAAGGAAGATGTTGCTCAAGCTGCATTTCTATGAGGTTTGAAATTGTATAATAATGACATATTTAATGGTGTGTACACACTGTTGTTGTTGTTCATTTGTTCAGTCATCTCCGACTCTTCGTGACCTCATGGACCAGCCCACACCAGAGCTCCCTGTTGGCCGTCACCACCCCCAACTCCTTCAAGGTCAAGGTCAGTTATTGATAATAACTAATGTACACACTAATTATTATCAATAACTCTAGTTTGTCACTGATCATCATTTTGTTTCAGTCAGTCATTTGATAATCATTTTGTATCATCCTATGATCACCATTCACCATTTACTTTTGCAGAAAATGTTGGCAACAGGCACTCCTTCAACAAGAAGAGGGTAAAACCAAGGCAGAGTATTGTATTCAGCACAATTCCCTTTAACAGGGAACTAGGATGAAAGAGTATTACTACAGGGAACAAGGACATAAACAGCTCACAAACAGAGTGACACAAATTGACTTTTGTAGATCATATGTTGGGATATATAACACCATTTGCTTATTATTAGGAGAGGGTTAGAAAAAAGTCAATTTCTTGGCATCAACCATTAAGCCAAGCTGAAAGAGAACAAGGAACATGCATCTTTCTTTCCTGTCATCTTTTTGTCAGGAACTCCTGACTATGGCATTGGAACAGGAAGTGATTTTGGAGAGTTGAATGAAAACAGGACGTGACATTCGGGAAACCGAGTACCATTTGTTTGTTCTTTCGCCTACATCACAGTTATGTGCAAATGTTTGGTAACTGACTTTGTCACCTAGAACAGGAAGCTAGTCACAGAAAAGTATGCATGACTCTGACACTAATACTTACAAGGGAGAATGGAAAGAAGCAGGTTTTTGCTGGCTAATCTTGGACTAAAATTGCACATTAGAAGCCAAACACAAAGATAAGCAAGCAAAAAAATCTACCAAAGAAATAGCAGAAGATACACGGGAACCTCTATGCTTGCTTCGCCAGTACAAAATTTAAATGAAACTTCTCACAGTGAAAAGGGGCACCACAATTCACATATTTCTACTGACATCAATATGAAATTTGCTGTAATGGAAGTAGATTGGTGAACTAATGCAAAGTTTGCAACTGAATCCATAGGAAGGTGGGAAATGTAATTTAAAGCACAATACAGATAATAAAGAAGGAAACAATCAATGTTTACTTCCTGTGCTTTTTGCCCTTTAAATGCCTCAACTATTCCCACTTTAAAAAAAAACCTTTTTCTATCTGACCTTAGCAGCTAAACGTGGTCAGCACTGATTAGTATTTTGTTGGGAGACCGCTAACAAACACCAGGTGGTAGGCTATATTTCAGAGGAAGGAACTGACAAAACTACTCTTGAGTATTCCTTGTCTAAGAAAACACTATGAAATTCATAGACACAACTTCAAGGAAAACACAAAGACACATACACACTTCCCATAAAATTAGGATAATGGTTGTCCCAATAAGTTAGCTTTTTGTTTCTCTTTACATACAGAAATAATAGTTCTCCAAAATCTGGCTGAACAATTCACACAAATCTGTTGCATTTTTATCCTTTCAGTGACACAACAGCCATTTCAGTAGCGTTTAACAGATTTAAATAAAATTAGCTTCACATTTGTAGATGATAAAACTGTATAATACAAATGTTCAGTTTATTAATGGCTTGTTATAGAATGTCTGAAGATATACTTGGATGTCTTCCTAACCATACACATTTCATCATGACCTTCTACCCTATCACTGTGTTTATTTGAAAAGTCAAAGCCAACGTTGGATAATCTGTGAGAGCACTTGATATGATCCTGAAGAGATTAATGAGGTATCAAATTGAAAGCACAAGGTATGAAAAGCATTGCTTCTGCCAACAGGACTTCAAAATCGCATAAACCCCATGAAAGAAAAGCAGGGGGAACCTAAGGGAATATGGACTGCAGAATCTTGAAATTCTATAGCTATCAACGTTAGTCTAGCATCACTACATTGAAACAAGATCTTTGTAAACATCCCTTCAATTTTTGAGATGTTATGGAATACCACAAAATATCTGACAGCCAATATTTTCGTGTTTTTAAAAAAAACACAAGTTATTGGCACATTCACTTTAATGACTGGAAGGATTTTTTTCTACATGGCTGGCAGAGAATGAAGAATGCAGTTAGAATCATAGAATAATAGAGTTGGAAGAGACCACATGGGACATTTAGTCCAACCCCCTGCCATGCAGGAAAAGCACAATCAAAGCACCTCTGATCGATGGTCTATTGCAGTTGTATTACAATGGTAGTTGACTTTGAATGTGTTTGTGTGTGCATGAAAGTGTACTGTGAAATGGATACAGAAGGTATTACATATTTTAATTTTGCCTTCTTTTTTAGGATCTCAGTGTATTCTACAAATAAAATCAATTCAAGCAGGTCAAAGCAATTAATTTAAAAATAAAATAAAAACAATTTAAACAAACTAAAAGCACAGCGAACAACTAAACAACTTGACAAAGTTAAAGCAGGTCACATTAAATGGAATAAACCAGTTAGAATCCAAAGCCTCTAATGAAAAGCCATTTTTTTTAAAAAAAAATTGCTACTGGAATGAAGCTAGTGATGGTACAAAGCAGGCCTCCAAAGGGAGGGCATTTCATAATTCGGGTGCCAAACAGATAAGGTCCTTTTTCATCTCCTTATGCAGTGCAGCATAAAGGATGGTCTCTTCAGCAGATCTGTCAGAAGTAGTATATAGCGCCTTGAATGTCATTACAAGTAGAGCTGCAAGTACTTCACTACTTTATTATTTTAGAGCTCATTTGTGGCAAATTTGTGGCAAGCAAATATAACTGCAACTGCAGTATTAGTATAGTGTGGGTGAGCACAGCCAAAGTACTGTTAGGGATTTAATGTTTAAAATGTTTACAGGCTGGGTTGATTTCATTGCTTTGTACTGATCATAGCTGTGGGGTTGCCCAGAGATGAGTACTCTGTTAACTGCTTTTCAATAGTTTTTCTAATTATTCAATTAAAGTTTCTAGTTCAAAGTTGTCCGGATGGAAAAGGGGATCAGCTATGATTCACCTAAATCCCATTCACGAGGGAAATACTACAGCATTCTGTTAAAGCATGGAATCATTTTACTAATTCTGCCTCATTGTGGAAAAGCAATAATCCAGCATGGAAAAGCAGTTCCCCAACTCTAGTGTGCAAGAAGAATCCTTTGTCATAAAAAGACAAGCTAATGATTTTCTTGGAAATTATTTCTTGGGTAATTAAGCAATTAATTCTCTCCATTGAGTTCCACCTTCCTTAAAATGGATACAGTTCAGCCACTCTTGGTCTGCATTGATTATTCAGTCTTACTGTGAACCACAGAGTCCCATTTTGGGAAGGAAAGTGAATTTAACTGAATGCAAACTCAATAGCTAACTAAATAAATGTGTTTTCTCCAAAGTCAATAATATAAAACGTCGTTAGGGAAGCTACTTCTAGGCCAGTGGTTCTCAACCTGTGAGTCCCAAATGTTTGGCCTTCAACCCTCAGAAATCCTAACAGCTGGTAAGCTGGATGGGATTTCTGGGAGTTGTAGACTAAAACACCTGGGGACCCACAGAACTACTGTTCTAGACTATGACAGGAAGTAAAGAGACACTCAGGACATAGATGAGCATATCTATTCATTGTTCTTTCATATCTAACTTTTGTAAATATACTTCTTTGAAGATGATTTCACAACAGGATTTTAATAAGCATTTTTAACTCACAGAAACATGCCCCACCAAACTCGCAACATACTTGGTCCATTTCTGCAATCCATTTGGGGTGTGTGTGTGTGTGTCTACAGCCACATTACAGTGTCATAATTAACATATCATCTGGTGAAGCTAATTTAGGTTGGCCTCAAGTGAAAAATGATGAAGAATTAATTTGCCCTGAGAAGCTACATCTCTTGAGTTTTAGGTCAACGGCGAAAGGAAATAGGGAAATAGCCTCACCTTGTTCTTTCCTTCCACAAACTCTGTCCAGGTGTCAATACTTTCAATGGGGTTCACAGCATCCAGCTGTGACACATCCTTCCAGTCCTTACACTCGGGCATCCGGTCCCGTTGGTGACGTCGGACAGCCCTCCGTCTGCTGCTGTTTTTCCAGAAACCATGAAAGAGATGAGGGCAAAGAGATATAAGGTATCTTGTCAGTAGGGCTAGGTAGGTGCATGACATATAATATTGTATAGGATATAATCAATATATGTAAATAAGACAGAAAAGTGGATTACACAATAGAAACTAATAAATTTAATCACACTGTGGAGAGAATGGATAGAAAACATGTTTCCTCCCTCTCCAATAAGGCTATGCATTATCTGCCCTGGCTACATCCTATGGAATCCAGTTTAGGGAGAAGTATTTTTAGCTCTTGCTGCAGAACAATATGCTTCACCAAACTACTAATTCCATGTAATGCAGCCACATTAGTTATTGTGGAATCGTAATCTTTTAATTACGTAGCATGAAAAAGCAATATGATTCTGTGACAGCCTGGGGAATTGATTGGTGATTGGGGATTCCAAATAGACCAAAAAAGTAGCTCTTTTCACATAACTCCATTTATTGACTGTATGGAATCCTAGAACACATATTCAGGGGCCACTACAGAGTCAGCCCCCCATGTATGTGGTTTGTATTTTACAGAAGTGATTATTCATGGATTTGATTAAAATGTTATCTCTAAGAATCTCTAGATCCTCTAATATGACACAATGGTCAACGTCTTCCAGTCATGCTTCAGCAATAGCTGATTGCAGAATTCTTCTGGAAGGTGTAGAAATTCATAGGTTCTCTGAGTTAAAAAAAGAAGAAAATATTTAGTCATTGTTTTTTACTTTCACAGGGGTTCTGTGAACCTAACTACAGTGAATGTGTAGAACTGACTGTACTATTTTCCAGGAAACAAAATTAGGAAAGGCTTATTGTCTCCATCTTCTAATTTGAAGTACTCTAAGACACATAGTGGGTCAGGTGGAAACAAGAATGCATAACTAGATTGGCCATAGGTCTGAGTTACTTTTCTGTCCTAAAAGTGTCCATGTGCCATTATGAATATTAAGTCAAAGCACAGGTATGAGGAACATAGGTATGCATAAAAAAACTTCATAGATAAGAGTACAATTTGTTTAAAATGCTCAACTTCTGCAAGAACAGAGAAAGTAAAGTTTGCCTTCATTCGGGCTGATGAGTAGGCAGAATGTTACTGCCACAATATGAGCATCTGTTTAGAAAACAGGAAATCACGATGAAGGCTTTTACAACCTTTGGAGCTGGGATAAACAGAAACTGAGCGTCCTTGGGAGGCAATTGTCATAATTCACTAGCTCCTCTTCTTCCTGACAGGGCCACAAAGCATCCTGATGGGACTGGAAGTGCCCTTGCTTCCTCAGCCAGCCAAACAGCACATTCGTGGCATCAGTATTTCTATTGACACCTCACTTCCTCCTGGGTCAGTGTTATGCCCTATCACATTCTTGGCTATTTTGGAGGCCTTCTTCTGTCTTTCTGTCTCAATAATAAAAGCATTTCCCTGCTAAGGGCCTCAGCCAAAGGATAAAAGTGCAGTTTCACTCCTGAATGTTAACAATCTGAAACAGCAGCAGAGATCCTGGTATTCTTGTTACAAAGAGCACTTCCACATTGTCAAAAGTGTGCATTGTCAAAGGACACATTCATGTGAAAGAACGTGTAGAGCTAATATAAACATATATTTGGTTGGAGTTACACTTAAAAATGTACCTGTTTCAACTTACACACAAATTTAACTGAGGAACAAACCTACAAAACCTATCTTGTTCTTAACTTGGGGATTGCCTGTATTAGTATTTATTTGTAGCATTTTATCATACTGAAATATTGTACTTTTGTAGTTGTTTCACTGAATCAGGACTGAGCTGAGTCCATTTTAACAACTGCCATTTTAGATAATTATCAGCCTTGATCGCCTCGCTCTTTTTGTTAGAGTGCACAGGAAGAAGTTAGATATCTTGGTTTGAGAACAAACACACCAATGGCTTGGAGAAAGAAACTAAACTTTATTGTAGTGATGGAATCACTGGGCTGTTGTAGGTTTTTTCAGGCTATATGGCCATGTTCTAGAGGCATTCTCTCCTGATGTTTTGCCTGCATCTATGGCAAGCATCCTCAGAGGTTGTGAGGTCTCATGGCCATACAGCGTGAAGAAACCTACAACAACCCATTAAAATTTATTGTTATTACTCCATTCTAAGACAGGAAAGTAACTCAGAACCATACTGATGCCTTCCCCTACTACAGCATTAAGAACTTAGCAAAGTGGAGAGGAGAAACAGAAGGAGGAATAAAAGGGGAAGAAGAGGGGAAGGAAGAAGATGTGAAAAGTCACTCACAGACTGCGTGGGGAGAACATACGGCAAGGTGTCCACGGCCTCCACTGCCACTGGATCTTCTCTGGTGATGGGATGCCGTAGACGGTGCAGGTGAGCACATGTCGGCTTTCACGAGAATAAATGTTAGGTGAAGATGCTTCTTTTTCATGGATTTGTGGAGGAACTGAAAGCAGAAGAGTTGCAATGTACCAACACTGGTAATTACTCTAATAGGATTTATCACTTTCATCACCCTCTTTGCCAGCCCTTTACTTGGCCATATTTATTTATTTATTTATTTATTTATTTATTATTCAAACTCCCCTGGGGCTCGGAGCGGCTTACAAGAACAGGCTAAAATCTAACACAATTTAAAAACAGCAATATCAAAGATCAAAGATCATTGTTCATGATCTCCCTTCAGTACTTAGTTTCACGCTCTGCTGCTACTGTATGGCCTTTGTGATCTCTTCCAACTTTCATCTCAGAAATCATCCACTGACTTTGAGGGGTAAAATGATTTGAACTTACGTGATTGACAATTAATTTTTGAAAAAATATCTCGGGGTATAATAGCTGTCAATGTACAAATTGCCTCAGGATTTTCTTTTTAATTAGATCTGTTCCCTCCTTACCATTGACAACCAGCTGAAGACTAATGCTCTTCTCCAATCCAGCCAGACCATTCCTCAAAACCAATGTGTAGGAACCCGAGTTCTGCTCTGCCACATCTTTGATTTGCAGTGAATATTGAGATTGTTTGTTGGAAATTAGTTTTCCATCCTTGAACCTGAGAAGAATCAGAGAGAGAGAGAGAAGATAGGTGTCTGAATTGGCAGTTTTCTTCAAAAAGACAACCTCAGAGCTCCACATTAAAATATGGCACTTCTTTAAAAGGATCTTACCATACTTCTTTCATGTTTGGAGGTGTTTTTAGAAAAAATTCAAAATGAAACATTAACTATAATTTTGGATCCAAAATACAGTATTAATTATTTAAAGACTTGGAGAATTATTTTTAAAAAGCAATTTTTGTTACAGTCCACCAATTTAGTTAGTATAGTTGAGTTTTTTTTAAAAAAGTAATCCTTTACCTCCCTTATTTCTCAAAAATAATTAAATATTTATCTTCACCCACTAAAAACATATCTGGATGCTCCATGGTACTGGCTTATGGTACAAGGCACCCTCTTCTCCCACCCATCTCATTGTCCCTTCTCAACAGCCACAACAAAGCATCAGCTGCAGTATAAACCAGCAATTGCAGCCCATAGTATCCCCCCTCCCAAACTAACCCTGCAAATATAAAAGTAACTCAAATGAGTGGAGTTGGCACTCCTTACATTACAAATAGTATGCAATATATCAAAGCCATAGTTATTGGGCGAAAACTAATAACATTTAAGTATTTACTTTATCTCAAAAATCTAGCAAAGTCAGTCAGACTGAGAGAGGATGATTAGCCTAATATGAAGGTAACAATAATCACATGAATTTTTACTATACAGGTTGAATATCCTGGGGCCAGAAGTGCTTGTGATTTTGGAATTTGGGGATTTTTGAATTGCTGTACTTGCATTGCCTAATTAGATATCTTGGAGGTGATTTAAAAATACAATATTCATTTATGTTTCATATATACCTCAAACACACCGTCTGAAGGTAATTTTATAATTTTGTGCATAAAACAAAGCACACTAAACCTTCAGAAAGCAACGGTGCCACTATCTTAGCCATCCATATGGGCAATTTCATATTTTAGATATCTTTAATTCTGGAATTCCTGATAAGGGATTCTCAACCTGGATTTGAAAATGACCATCTGGAGTACTTAACTGAGCAAAGAAATGAAATAATGTCTAGCATACAATGGCATACACAGAACAAGGGAGATAAGGTGGGATCCATTTCTGTCTTTCATGGCAACATATCTGCATCTGTTTGGTAAGAATGTGACATCCATTAAGAGTCTGCTTTCTATCTTCTCTGGCTACAGCAAAGAGCTACAAGTCAGACCAGAACACTTGCTGTCTCTCATTACTCCACTCAATGGCTTTTCCTTAGTCAGGAGTGCCTTGGCGTTCTCAAAGAGTAACAGGTGTTAGGCAAGGCATGAGAAATATGAGGAGCCATTGTGTGTGTTTGCCTTTTTGGCAACTGAGCTAATGATGAGAAAGATCCTCCTGATGCCACATCTAATGTCTGCCAAGAATCTGGATGGTGGGGGAAGATACAAARGAATGTTTACGTCTCTGCTGAAACAGTAGTCTGCATCTAAACAGCACAAGATGTTGGCTAATGAGACAAGCTCCAGGATAATCATCATCTTCAAATAAACTCTCTCACACACAGAGCACTCGGACTTTTAAACAGACCCTCCCCCCCCCCCGCCTTCCCCAGAGCTGACTTTTCATATTGTAAGAGAATAGTGTCTTTCCTCTCCAAACAAGATTTCCCTCTTGCGGTCTTTCTGGTCTCCTATTTCCCTTCCCTCCAAACAACAACCCCAGAGCCTATCCTGAGAAATGCAGTTCATCTGATCTTCTCCAAGGTATCTTGACAATATTGGCTGCTTTTACACTCATGTGTTGATAAAAATGTATTACCACTGGAAGTCTGGCTGGGGATAGGCAACCACTTTCACTGGCAGTTTCACAATTTCATCTCCTGCTGTTGCTTCTATTACTGGTCCCTTCCTCCACTCAACGTTGATGAAGGGCTTCTCTGTAAAACCAGATGAATAAGAGTGTTGAGAAGGAGGAATGAAATTGGTTAAACAAGCTACAGCTGAGATGCCTGAATGAAGGGTTTTTACCATGCACAATGACATCTATGCTCTCCTTCAGGTTCTGCTGCCCATTGCTAGCCTTGCATGTATATTTTCCCAGGTCTTGTTGGCTCACGTTTTGGATTATCAGGATGCTAGAGAGTTCTGTATGTGTCTGCTGGGAGCGCCTCTCAGGCAGTTCAATTACTTTCCGGTTCATCTGCCAGAAAAATGGGATAGTAGAAAACAAATAACCAGATAATACAACAGGAGGGATTGTTTTTGTGAAAAGATGGAGAGAGAACTCGGGAGTTCTTGGGCTCCTCCAGGCAGAGCAAAAGTGTTGAAAGGTGCAGCATTTTTATTGTAGTCCTCATTTGTTTGCTGGTTTTTAAAAACAGAATTTCTGCAATTCCTAGCACCAGCTGCAACATTTTGTTTCTACCCCTAATTGTGTGTTTGTTTTAAGATTTGGGGACAAGTTGGAATGACCCTTTTCACTTTCTTTTAAATATTTTATAGTCTATTGTGCGTCAGTGATTCAGTGAAATGGCACTTTTTTTCTATATTTCTATACCTCTATTTTTAAAATCAAAGTTGAACATTTGCAGTTCAAATTCCTGCATAGGCCAACGTCAGGAAGCCACACCCTATTTCTTAAAAAAAAAACTTTGTAAGAGCCCTAATACAGATCTAAGCAACTGCTTAACGAACTCTTGAAAAGAACTGAAGGAGATGATGCAGAAGCAAGATCAAACAACAAAACATGGCCAACTCCAAGGAGCAACATGCTGATGATTCCCGAAGAGCCCATAGTCCCTCATTCTGTAAACTTATATCTTCACTTCAGAATGCAGGTGAAGTTCACATGGCAATGATCTTCCAAAATAATTATCCTCACATAGAAAAAACAATATGTCATGAAGACAGTCATGCTTATTTTCCATGCAGAGGATTTTTAAAAAAATGTTTTGATACATACTATCAATAGGTGCTAGATATGAACAGGAATAAGTCTGCATACCTGTTTTGCAGGATAGTCCCACTGGAAATCCACTCCTGAATTAAACTCAGCCCATACTGTGCAGTTGAGCACTAGTTTTTCTCCTACTAGAAGCTCCATGGCTTTCCTTGGGAACAACTGAATGTCATAAAGTTCATTTCCTGGCCAAAACAAAACAAAATACAATGGTAAGAAAAATGACTTTTAAAGCAAAACAAATTCAACCTTCTTCTTCAGTACATGAAACTATTGCTACAATTGTGAAAAACAGTTTCAAAAAGTTACTCCACAATGAATAACAATCCTGAAAAACCCTATGTCTCCCTATGTCTGGGGCAATTACAGTGTAGGCCATCTATCTTGTCTCCACCAGCCAGATTTGGGACGAGGGTGGGACTGAGAGGAGGGCCTTCCCAATGAACACAGCATCTGGGCAGGTTCGTATGAGGAGAGGCGGTTGGTCAGGCTGTCTAGACCTGAACCATTTAGGGCTTCAAAGGTAATGACCAGCACTTTAAATTTCACCAGGTAGGAAACAGTAAGCCAGGGGAGTTGCCTCAACATGCGGGTTATTCTCTCTCTGAATTGTGCTTCCGTTAGTAACCTGGCTGCTGACCTCAGGACCAGCTGACGCTTTTGACCACTCTATAAAGTAAGACTGTGTTGCAGTAGTCCAATCTAGAAGTAACTGAGGCATATACCACTGTGACCAGATCTGGCATCTCAAGGTATGGGCACAGCTGGAGCATAAGCTTTAATTGTGACGCATAAGCTTTAATTGAGGCTCCAGGGTCAGCGATGAATCCAGCATCACCCCTAAGCTGCAGACCTGTGTTTTCAGGAGAAGTGTAACCCCATTCAGCACAGGCTGTATCCCTATACTCTGATCTGCCTTACAATTTATCAGGAGCACCTCTGTCATGTCAAGATTTAGTTTCAATCAATTCGTCTTCATCCTGTCCATAACTGTTGTCAGACATTGGTTCAGGACAGAAATGGCATCCTTGGCTTTTGGTAGAAAGTAGTATTAGAGTTGGGTATCATCTGCATAAATATGGCACCAAACTCCAAAACTCCAGATGATCTCTCCCAGCTGTTTCATGTAAATGTTAAACAGCATGGGTGACAGAATAGATACCTGAGGAACCCCACAGGCCAATGGCTAAGGGGTCGAACAGGAGTCACCCAGCACCACATTCTGGGTACAAACCTCTAGGAAGGAACAGAGCCACTGTAGAACAGTGCTTCCTAATCCCATCCTAGTAAGACAACCCAAAAGGATACCATGGTCAATGGTATTGAATGCCACTGAGAGGTCCAGGAGAACCAACAGGGACAAACTCTCCCTGTCTAATTCTCTTCATTGGTCATCCACCAGGGTGACCAATGCCATTTCAGTTCCATAACCAGGTCTGAAACCAGATTGAAGTGGATCCAGATAATTGGTTTCTTCCAAGAAGCTCTGGAGCTGAGAAACCACTACCTTTTCCAAAACCTTGCCCAAAAAGGGGAGATTTGAAACCAGCCAATAATTGTTTAATTGAGTGGGATCCAGTACTGGTTTTTTAAGTAATGGTTTTACTACTGCTTCCTTAAGGCTAGCTGGAATTTTGCCTTGTGCTAAGAAGGCATTTACCTGCACCTTTACCCACTCAGTCAGTCCCCCCCTGGTCTGCCTAATCGGCCAGGATGGTCAAGGGTCAAGGATACAAGTGGTCGCTTTTATTTTTCCCAAGATCTTGTCCATGTCATCAGGTGAGATAGAATGAAAATAATCCAGTAAAATAGGACAAGCAGAAGCACAGGTTACATTAATGCAATCTGCATCAACACTGGTGTGTGTTTAAGTCAGAATGAACCTGAGTGACTTTATCTGCAAAGAACCTTACAAATTCTTCACAACGAGCTGTCGAGTGGTCAGGGTCCCCTGCCTTAGGGACAGATTGTAACGGACCTCTGACCACTCAAAACACTTAGGCTGAATGGTTCTTTGCAGATGCAAAGTTGGCACTGCCTTCATTGCCACGGGATTGCAGACTTTCAACAGCCTATATATGTTTTGGTTTGTAGTTTCTCTCAGCCACCATTACAATATAACTGTGCCACTAGGCGTGATGGCTAAGCTTGGTAACAACTATAGCCCAAAAAGTATTTAGAGGGTAATGGACCCCCCCCCCCCACACACACACAACACAGTGTGCCATAAGCAGAGAGTAGGACTAGTGGAATGCTATGCCAGAAAGGATTTTGAACAATTATTATATCTGGTAAGAAGCAATTAAAAAACAATTAAGGCTGCCAGTGTCTGGAATGTGAGTATTTATTTGTACAAAAGATTGGTTCACTTCACTTCTATTGCAATTTCATTTTATCTTAATTTAGGGTTGTTTTGGTTGGCATGAGCAATTTCCTACAAAAATTCCATACATGTACCTTTTGAGTTCTAATATTTAAAATGTAACATTTGTACAGTTTGCACAATTGCTCTTACACGCCAAAAATATATAAAAAGCACAAAAGCTGAAACTATCTTCCATTATGGAAAACTGATAAGACTGGGAAGGGTCCAGAAGCGCAATAGGAAAAGTCTGTACTTGAATATTCAAAAACGTTAGTAGGAGAAAGATTAAAAATATGGCCCTGCTGGAATCAGTCAAAAGGTTGGTTCCTTTTCTCTTTCTGATGTGGCAGAAAAACTGAAGTGCTTGTACTGTAAAACGAGATCGCATGACAAAATAGTTTTTACATTCACATAACCAAGGCATTGTAGTCATTATACTATATGATCATTTTAAGAGGTATAATTTCATAATGACCAACTCACCTGCAATGTGGACAAGGAACAAACTAGATTTGAAGGACTTCTTGTCGATGACAGTTTCACATTGAACAAACCATGAGTCCCTGATCAGTTTGGTAGGAACTAACATTCCTTTTTTGTTGTCCCACAGAATGCTCTTTCCATCTGGGTAGATGACAGAGGTTGTCTAGAAATGGAAATTTTAGAAAGTTACTGAGGTTGCTGCCAATGCACTTGAGGACTTTCCACCCAACACAGTTACAACACTATGATTCCACTTTAACTGTCATAGCAACATCCTATGGAATGCTTGTAACTGGAAGTTTCGGGAGGGCTAATTAGAACTATTTGCCATAGAGTTCTAGTGCCCCTGACCAAACCTCATGATTCCATAGGTCGCAGCCATGGCAATTAAAATGAATATATAGGGTGCATCTACACTGTAGAAATAATGCAATTTGACACCACTTTAACTGCCATGGCTCAATGCTATGGAATAATGGGATTTGTAGTTTTACAGTGTCTTTAGCCTTTTCTGTCAGATAGTGCTGGTGCTTCACTGAACTGCACATCCCAGGATTTCATAGCATTCAGCCATGACAGTTTAAGAGGTGTTAAATTGCATTGATTCTACAATTTTTATGTACTCAATGTGAGGACCCCACAAAACGTTTTGGATAAAACTGGCTTTGCATGAAGTGTTTTCCTTGCTTCATTAGGATTCCATCATTCTCAGGCATCTCTGTACAATAGTGGTGTATAGTAAAGGTAAAGGTTTCCTCTGACATTGTCTAGTTGTGTCTGATTTTGTGGTGGTGGTGCTCATCTTCATTTCAAAGCTGAAGAGCCACCTCCAAGGTCATGTGGACAGCATGACTGAATGGAGCACATTACCTTCCCGCAGAAGCGGTACCTATTGATTGATTCACATTTGCATGTTTTTGAACTGCTAGGTTGGCAGAAGCTGGTGCTAACAGTGGGAGCTCACCCACTCCCCGGATTTGAACCGCCAACCTTTTGGTCAGCAAGTTCAGCAGCTCAGTGGTTTAACCTGCTGCACCACCAGAAGGCTCTACTGGTGTATACTTCCACTGAAAGGTCATAAACATTAGATAGAACAAGTGAAGAGAGCAGTGCAAGAGAACAGAGACCAACGAGAAGCGGGGGAAGAGGCTGTAGATGTTACTGGAAAACATCACTAAGAATTTTCAAGGATAACTGCTTTAGCAGGTTCCCTTTAGCTGTTTGCTCCCACCCGCAACTCCTCCATGTTTTCTCTGTTCCTCTTCAAGCTGGTAAAGCTGAAACAAGGCAGAGGTCTGATCCTTTTCCACTGTGAAGTTTCTTACCAAAAGCAAAGTGATGTTCAGGTCTGGAACGGATGCCAGGCATGGGATGCAGATAACCTCTTTTTTGTAGATAAGAAGAGTCCCTGGTTTATTGATAAATGGCTGTTCAAAATCTTGAAGGATAAAATGGACATGGGAGAAAAGAAGAAGACAAAAAAAAAAAGCCTCAACAGAGCTGGATATTTATTTATTTATTTATTTCTAAAATGCTTAAAATCTATGTGAAACACTATTGAGTTTGGCACAAATATACATATAAGGAAATTATGAGAAAAGATCAGACAGATTTATAATATGTCAACTCAAAAATAAGCACTACGCAATGAGAGTTTCTTCCTGGTAAGTGACTATAGGATTATTTCCATAATTACTTTTTGGGCTCTTATTTCTAGTCTATTTCCCTTGCCTTTCACAGCCAAAGGAAATCTCCAAAGCAAAGGAAATATTTATCCAGACACCAGGGATCTTCAGGATCTATGTCTAAACTAATCCTGGCAGCAGAATTTTATATAACCCATACAACCATATATTGTTGCTCCCCCTCAATGTTTGTCCCTATAATACACCCCCCCTCCCGTATGAAGGTCTTTTTACGACCCCATTTTTTATGAGCTTCTCTTCACAAATAATCTTCTCCATCCCTATCTCATGCTGTTTTTAGTATTTTATCCTGTACATGTGGCCCGCTCGCTGTCACTGTGATTGTGAATGATTTTTTATTGTATTTTTACATTGCTTACTGTATTCTTATGTTTTATGTATTTATTATGCTGTTGTTTTGTGTTTTGGTTTTGTTTTATTGTAATGCACTGTTGGGCTTGGCCTCATGTAAGCCACCCCAAGTCCCTGTTGGGGAGATGGTGACGGGGTATAAATAAAGATTATTATTATTATTATTATTATTATTATTATTATTATTATTATCATCATTATTATCATTATTATTATTATTTCTACATTTCAGAGGAAGGAATTGGTGAAGCCACTTCTGAGCATTCCTTGCTGAAGAAAGCCTTGTGAAATTCATGGGTTTGCCTTAAGTTGACTTGAAAATACCTACGCACATGTATCTGTACTCTCTCTTGGTTAAAACAAAACACTTAGCTCATTTTGGTTAAGTGCTAATCTCCCCCCCCCCCATTTCACGTTAGTGCTGTTTCTAACCTAGCTCAAATAAACATTATATGTTACAACAACCAGACATTACAAATAATGAGTGGGAAGTCAACTAATTAACAGCAAAGAGTTTCCTTTTGATAATGAGGATTTAACAAAGTAGCATCTCAAAAGCAATGTAACAAATTAAAACAGTGTTATTCTACTGGTCTACAGAGTAACATCCCGCAACATTTTTCTAATTACTTTAAAACGTTATTCCCTATCGGTCATTTATGTCTTTCTATTATCAATCACAAGGTATGTTTCAGGATTTCTACAAAATAAAGGGTAATGAAAAATCAACAAAGAATACAATAAGAAGTGCTACAAACAACATTAAAACATTGTAATGAATAACAATAATGAATTACTTCTGAAGAGTGATAACAAATAATGGAAACAGATTACTTTTAAGTGACTATTTCTCAATCTAATGTATGTTACCCTCCAGCTGTTCCAGTTGGGACAGTCCTGATCAATCTTCTGTCATCCCATTTTTAAAATTGCTTTTTCCTCTTTCAATCCCCTCCCCCCTTGTCCCCAGCTTACTTTAGTGGTTGCAAACTGAGTTCAAAGTGCAAAAATGATTTGTATACATTTAACTCAGCAGTGAGAGAGGACAGGAAGAAAACTTGTCCTTCCCTAAAGGTTCAAGCAAAATGTTTTCAAAGGACTGAAAAAGAGCCAACATTGTACAAAAATACAACCCCCCCCCCCAAAAAAAACCCCAACCTTCCTCCCCACACACAACATCCAGGGAACTACAGACCAATAAACTGGGCCTCAATATCAGCAGAAAGACCAGAAAATATTATAAAGTAGTCTGATTGTAAGCATCTGAGTGACAAATAGGAGCCAGTATCAGACTGTCAAAAACAAATTCAGACAAACTAATTCTATATCCTTTTTGGACAGGTTATTTAGTAGGTAGAAGGAATGCTATAGATGCAATTTATCTGGATTTCAGCAAAACCTCTGGTAAGATCATAGAATCATAGAATCAAAGAGTTGGAAGAGACCTCATGGTCCATCCAGTCCAATCCCCTGCCAAGAAGCAGGAATATTGCATTCAAATCACCCCTGAATTTGAAAGACCTCAAAAGCTGTCAGAGAAGAGGGTGCAGGATTGCTTTCTGCTGCCTCAGGAATAGGGCCAGATTTAATAGTGTTACGTTACAGAATGGTAGATTTCGATTGAACATTAGAAGGAATGTCTAGATGGTAGGAGTAGTTTGGCAACAGGAGCAATGATCTAAAAAGGTGGTGGGGTCACTTCCTCTGGAGGCTTGGGATGCTCTGGTTGAAGTTCCTGCTCTGAGCAATGGCTTGGACTCAGTGGCCTATGGGTTCTATCCAACTCTATGCCTCTATCTTGCAGCCTCCCTTTGTTTGTGGATTCTTCCTCATTAATAATGTTTGCTATTTGGACTACAATCTGATGTTTTCTGGCTACACATGTCCTGGTTGACACCTGTGAAATATTGGGGAGTATGCAATGCTATTGGCAAACACAGGACAGAGTGATATCCTATATCCTACCTTGAGTCCTTGGAGAAAGGGAAGATGCAAATGTGATACATAAAAGTCCAAATTTGGACACTGTTGCTCATTTCTTTAACTGTTGCTCATTCCTTCCGTCTGTACAGGTTTATAACAGAGCAAATTTATACTCTGAACTGTGGAATAATGACGTGATTGGGAAATCAGCCAGCCTGCCTGCCTGCATTTCATTCAAGATTTGTCAATCCAATCCTTCAGCAGCCCAGTCTAGTTTGTTTCTGATTATATTCTTTCCTGATTGCAAGAGCAAATAGATTTTCCAGCAGCATTCATTATATCTTATTGCTCCTTTATCCTTCAACATATTTAGAGTTATTAGCTAATCTAGCAGTACAGAATTTTAGAGGGTTTTTTAAAAAAAAAATTACGTGATCTTGCAATGGCAAAAGTTTAGATTCTTGTTTTTAAATGGGTGTGTTGGCTCATATAGTTAAGGTTGATCTGTGAAAGGGATGGGCAGAGTGGGGCCCCTCCTGATATTTTTGGACTACAACTGCAGGATTCTTCACCAAAATGAAGTTGGAGGCCAACAGATCTCAGCTAAACTTTGGAAGAAACCTCCTAGCAACAGCATTTCAGGCACTAATGGACTCTCCTGGAGAGCCATCTGTCAAAAGTGCTTAGCTGTGGCCAACTTTCAACTCAATCGCAGTTTTAGAGGGTTTTTTTAAAAGAGTGTATTTGCTTGTAGAATTTCTACTGTTGAGACGGACTACTCAAAATACAGTATCATTGATGTGGCAAAGATCTTTGCAACAAATAAATCATATCTCCCAAAGTGCAGTTTAAATTCCACAAGATAAATTCAAAGGAGGAAGATCAAAGGTACAGTATGGATTTTTTAAAAGTCCAGCACACGCTTTCAACAATGAACTATCCTACATTATCTTTCAGCATCCCATATCCTGTGTCTATAAAGAGAAACTGGGTAAGTATGTAAAAAGTATATATGTAGGTGCTTCATTATTTTCCATAAAGGAGGGCATGGATTGAACAGTGTGATCTCTACTGGTGCATTGATCAAGCTTCAGTTCAGGGGAGATAAAGTCCCAATTGGCTTGGAGTCAGGTTAATGAAATGACTTGCTTTATCCATATGAGTCAGTCTGTCTGGAATCTGAGACCCACAACAGAGGCCCTGTTGCATATCCCACCACTCCATGAAGCCAGATTGGTGACTACATGAGATATGGCTTAATCCATATTACCACTCAGTAGTGAAACAGAGTATGTTCATTCTGATATTTCAGTAGGCAGCCAGACTGCACTGTTTTCTATAGCCTTGGTTCTAAAATCCAGGGTAAGCCTTTGATACTGTTTTAATTTTGTGTATTTTAAAAAAGCAGAATGTTTTTAAGTATGAGGCAGGTGCTGTATGGTATCCCCCCCCCCCTTGACTAATACATTTTATTACATATTCATAAAACAGTGAAACAAATCTATATACACTAGGCATGGATAGGTCCGTCTCGGATTACTTGTAATTTGTTATAAATTCATTAAAATTATCTTTTTGGAGCAATTTTGAAGTATTTTTAAAACCCGAAGTTCCCTTGCCCTTCCAAAGCTTTGTTTGCCATTTTTGTTACAACTCAGGAAGTGAGTTGGAAATGATTCAGCGTTTTTTCAGCCCTCTAGCATGCTGGGAGGCAAGCAGCTTGCATGCTGGGAGGCTGCTTGCCTCCCAACCAATCAGGCAATAAGTTTTGGAAAGGGGAGGGGTTTCAGCAGCCATTGCTCTATATAAAGGGGAGTACAAGGCTGAGAGGCTCATTCAAAGCCCAGGAAGGGAAGGGGAAAGGGAAAGAATAAAGGAAGCGAGGTTGTGTTGAATGGAGTTTGGAAGAAGAGTAGGGCAAGAAAGCAAGCAGCAAAGAAGGGCTGGGAGAAGGGCTGTTGCCTGTCTGGCTGCCTGCCTGCCTTGCAACTTGTGTTGTTGCTGTTGGGGTCTGGGACAGGTGGGCACTGGGTGGGTATTGGTGTGTGTGGGTGCGTGGCATGGGTGGAAGGAACAACACTGACGAACCAAAGCACTCCAACATTTTTAAAAGTACCAGCATTGTAGCAGGTCTCTCTGGCCTCAGTGTGTCTTGGTTTGTTGCACATTGCTTCAAAAGAACTAGATCTCCGAAGTAAATTGAGAAGTTCAGACTTCTATGAAATGGGAAGCACAAGTCATTAACCTTCAATCTGCTACATGATGGCTGGTGGAAAAATTTGCCAAATACTTGGATCCAAATGACTTAGGCAAGATCAGCTTCAAGGATTTCTGTCATGGAGTATTTGCTATCAAAGGCTGTGAAGAATTGCTGAAAGATACATTATCTGCTGAAAACCATGGGCTTCAGGACTTCCGGTAGCGGCACCATGGCGTTCGGAGCGAGCTTCTGAGGCTC